TAGTCCAGCAGATATTCAATCTCTCTCTTGTAGAAATGCAACATGGTATGTTGTAATTATCCAATAGTACAAACACTTTAAACACATGTGACATTCTCAGTGAGCAGCAGCAATGTGCCTAATCCCATCTGGAAAAAAAAAACCCAAGGAATAAATAATGCAAGATTATTAATAAAAGTTTGCTCATTTGTTTTATAACATAAAGATTCTTCTCTAGGCTTTTACTGAGAAGAATCTTTACATTATAAAAAAAAAAGAGCAAACTTTTACCTATGATACCCCCTTATCAAGTAGCTAGTTATACAGGAAAATTACTGTCACCCAGTATTTTATTTATGTTTTCCGCTATTCTAAATAGAGAAGTCTGAGTAATGAGGAGGTTGGAGTTGACTGGTAGTTTTGGAATACAGTTTTCTATATTTCAATCTGTAGTTCCAGCATCTGGTCTCCTTTAAGAAATCCTATATTTTTTTTATGAGCACAAAAGTAGGTCTATAGATTTTAGCAGTGCTTTTCACTTGTTTTTTTTGCTGTGAAGAAAACTACCTTTCTTATTGTTGTGGTCTTCTCTGCTGTTACCCATTCATCCCATGCACATCTCATATGTCTGTGTATGTGTCAATTCTAAGTCTCTTACTTTTGGCAAAGGTAGGAAGCAGACTTTGGGGATACGATCTCTCACTATTACAGATATTCTCTGTACTGTATTCCAACTATTTGCCTACCATGTCTGCTGTTTGCCTGCTCGTGGATTACTGAGCAGCTATCCCAAAGCCTTAAGGCTGCTCTTCTTACCATTGTGCAAGTTTCATTTTTCCTTAAGTAGTTGCTGGAATGTGTTTAGTATTCCGATACCTAGATAAAACTGTAGTCAGATAATTCACTAGCAATTGAATCTTGAAAAGATTCTTGCCACTATCTTACAGTAGTTTAGTAGTTTTCCTATTGCAGGGTCAGTTACCTGCATTGAAACACAGCGACTATTTTAATAATGTTGTGGCACAACCCAGAAATGTCTGATATACCCAGTGATAACAATAGGCAATTTTGTAGATACTGATCTCTTAATTTTTCAGACTGGGATTTTATTTTGAGCTATAAAACTTGAATAACTTCTCTTTCTGGCAAGAAAAATGTCCCCTTTACCTGTGTTAGTTTCAACTTCTCATTTTTAGCTTAAAAATGTAACTTAACAGATTGGTCACGCAGGAATGAGTAATCGTCATGCATATGACTAACTTTACTAGATAAATTGTAAAAGCAAACAGTGTTACTGTAGGTTTCTTTATTAATTTTACAAATATTACTAGATAAATGGGCAAAGTAGGAATGGTATTTTCAAATTCCTGAATTGTATTGATTTTAAAGTTTGGTCCAAAAGAGATATTAAGCCAAAAGATTAAAGGGTTGCATGCTTTTAAGCTACAATCTTCTCATGACCTTACTTGTGACGTGAAGTTACATAATGTAAATTTACAAACAGCTGGACATGTTTCTCTGAATTCCCTCGCCCGCCGCGAGCTCTATTTTATTCCTTCATCAGCTTAATGGATACAAGTATGAACATTTTCTGGTTTATATGAATTGGTAGAAGTCAGTGTTTCAGATTCAGTAAAAGATTTCAAATTGTAAAAATAATGCTAATGATGATGCGAAGTCGAATAGCAAATGGACCAGAGACATGGGGTTTATACAGTATAGTACAGTATTTCTTCCTTGTATTTATTGGAATTAATTATATTGAAATTACATAATAGAAGCAGTTTCTAAATTATTTTTATGATATTAATTTGTCGTTTAATAAATTTCTGCTTTTTACAGTATCTGCACAGCTTAAGCACTGTGAAGTAGCTTATGAATACCTAATTAAAAAGAAGTCTGGATGCTTATGAATTCTGTTTGAATTTCATTCCTCCTCCTTATTTGAAGCATGCATTTATTATAGTATCATCTCCTAGTGGAAAAATTGGTCAGAAAGCTGTTTCGCATAGTTCTTAACTGTCCTTTATTTTTGAGATCATACAACCTGTATCTCCCCATACTTTTTTTGGGGGGCTAGAAAAACTGCAAACATACAGAAGCATTTAACTTTAATTTTAGAAGAAATATGTTTTATACCTTAAACATACCTAATTACAGGAAAGCTTACAAACAGACATTTACGTGTCTTCACAGGTTCATCTTGGATTGTTCTCACAGCGGACAGCGAGGGCTTTGTTCCGTTAACGTTTACATCCACGCAGGAGATAGTCGTAAGAGATGCCAGTATGAAAGGCTACAGTGCCCGTTCTTCCAAAACTTTGGACATCATCAGTTCTACAGAAGGGTGCAGACCCGCTTCTTCTGAAGGTCTGGATATCACGAGTTCTTTGGAAGTCCTCAGAGACTGCTCCTCCAAGGCCTTAGACAGCAGCAGTCCTTCAGAACAGCCCAGCAATAAAATGTAATTTTTGACAGTGATTTTGTAATGTCTGTCTTACAATGGGAGACTTTTAAATTTACTGTATAGGGCTGAAAATTCTAAACAACAGTCTGTCTCAAATCTCTGTTGGATGTCTGTAATTTTTTTGTTGCATATCACTGTAAATTATTTATTTGATGCTTGGAAACATTAACTTTTCTTTTTGTACTGAGCGGTGTTTTTTAAATATGACTTTTGCAATATAGACCAGGTCTTTGTATCAGTGGTTGAAAACACGTGTTCCTACAAGCTTCTGAGCTAAAGTTTCCATCTTGGTCTTTAATACGTTGGTGTTTTTAGATGATAGTAAACTTGCATAATAAAGAAACCCTTGAAAACGCTGTGTTGCCCCCCATTTCCTCACTTCTGCCAAAGCCTGAAATGTTATGCTATTATTTAGAAATAGCACCTGCAGAGGTGCATGTGCGTTTGCACTGGTGTTACTAGGGGTGTAAGCACTAGTTTAGGTATATGGAGTTTGGGACAAAGTATGATCATGTCTAATATCCGTAATGTGTGGAAGCAAGACCCTTTTCCCCTCTTGTGCCCACTAATAATGCCTCTCTGTGCTTGCTTCTCTGTGTGGATTTGGGGAAGTGGCTGTCACCTGTGTCATCTTCTGTGGGGGGTTGACCCGGGGTGGCCGCTGAGCCCCCCCCCAGCCACTCACTCCTCTGTCCAGGACAGGAGGATTGGAAGGGCAAAAGCAAGAACAACCCATGGGTTGAGATAAAGATAGTTTAATAGGTAAAACAAGCTGTGTTTGCAAGTCAAGCAAAATAAGGAGTTTGCAAAGTATGTCCCTGTCGTGGTTTAACCCCAGCCAGCAACTAAGCACCACGCAGCCGCTCACTCACTCCCCCCCATCCAGTGGGATGGGGGAGAAAATCGGGAAAAGAAGTAAAACTCCTGGGTTGAGATAAGAACGGTTTAATAGAACAGAAAAGAAGAAACTAATAATGATAATGATAACACTAATAAAATGACAACAGCAGTAATAAAAGGATCGAAATGTACAAATGATGCGCAGGGCAATTGCTCACCACCCGCCGACCGACACCCAGCCAGTCCCTGAGCCGCGAATGCCTGCCCCCACCTCCCAGTTCCTAAACTAGATGGGACGTCCCATGGTATGGAATACACTGTTGGCCAGTTTGGGTCAGGTGCCCTGGCTGGGCATGAGAAGCTGAAAAATCCTTGACATTAGTCTGAACACTACTGAGCAACAACTGAAAACATCAGTGTTATCAACATTCTTCACATACTGAACTCAAAACATAGCACTGTACCAGCTACTAGGAAGACAGTTAACTCTATCCCAGCTGAAACCAGGACAGTCCCACCGACAGGCAGCTGTTCAGCAGCTTGTAGGAAAGCAAGGCTTTGGCATGTATAACGGTTGCTTGGGTTTTGAGTGCCGTAACTCTGACCGTCCTCTCCTTTCTTGCAACTTTATGTGCTGAGCACAATGTCATATGGTCTGGGATATGCCTTTGGTCAGTTGGGGTCAGCTGTCCCAGCTGTGCCCCCTCCCAGGTTCTTGTGCTGGTGGGACAGAGCTGGAAAAAGAGAAGGCCCTGATGCTGTGCAAGCGCTGCTCAGCAACAGCCAAAACATCGGTGGGTCATCATACTGTCGTGGTCACAGATCCAAAGCACTGTACAGGCTGCTATGAAGAAAACAAACTCCGTCCCAGCCAGACCCAGTACATCGTTATAGGCATAAAGTGACTTCAGTTACATTTGAATAACAACATTTGCCAGTTAATATGTCTAAACGCCTCTTGATATTGAAATTTTTCCCTTTGAAACAATATTGTTAATATTAACAACATTGCCTTCAATGCATCTCTTTTAATTTTCATAGCTAGTATGTGCTGAACAGGCAGAAGGGAAGTCCAATAACCCATCACCTTGAGAACATCCAATTTAAAGGTTGACAGAAGAAAATGTTCTATGGGCTTTTGTAGTGAGAGAGAGTGAAAATGCAAAGGTGAAATTTGGAAAACAGCACAAGTTTTTGTAGTATGGATTGCAGCACTGAAGAAAAGAGTAATCCAAGATTGCTACCCATAAAATTAAAGCATGATAACATTAAGCAGTTTATCAGGCTTTCACAGTGGAGCTTACTGCGTGAGAAGGAATCAAGTGATGAGATTATAGAATTGGAGCTGCTGTCTCAGGACTAATGTAATCTCTTTTTTTATTACCTATTTGGAAATTTAGCCACTGTCAAAAAATCATCTGTCCACAAAATCCAATACTAAAGATACAACATCACCGAAAGCTGCAAAGAGCACTCAGTGTTGGGTGGCGCAACTAGAAGTTAACAGCTTTTGTTGCACAGGGGAGGAGGAAAACAGGTGAAATAATTTGGCAGTTGTGGGCTTCATGCTGTACGTAACAAGTATCTGTTCTCAGTAATTGTCACTGTTTAATCCGGAGGCAGTCCGCAATCACCATTACTCTAACCAAAAGCCACAAAGCCCAGTGGCAACCACCACGTAGACCAGTAGATGACAAATCATTTTGTCCAAAGATCCTTGGCTTTTCCATTTGGCAGGATGCAAGAACACAGCACCAAGTAAATGGCTTCTCACAACCAGGCATCAAAGACATAAAAAAAAAAAAAAAAATCAAAGCTTCTTGAAGCCAGAAACCTTAAAAATCAAGTATAGCTTCTGCTGCCAAAGTCCCACCATGTTCCATTGCTTCATCCCCAGTGGGAGTGTTACACTTCAGGTGCAAATCAAATCATTCATCCTCAGCTACCAGCTGTGAGTTTTCCAAATGAAACAAGTGAAGAGGAAAAGTGGAGAGGTACAGGAACAAGTTGGAAAGAGAGGGGTTTTTTTTCCTCCATCCTATTTCTTCTAACATGGGCAGGTGCTGTGCTTCCTTTATCCCTAGCCGGCCCTTTTTTTTTTTTTTTTTTTTTTTGCATAGTGTGGGTTCCAACCCCAGCTGGTGGTGGGAAGAATCATCGTCCAGTAGCAGTCTATGTCCAACACAAAATGGGTTTGATGAATTAAACCTGTTGCCTACTCTGTCCCCAGTTTGTCCCATGAGATCCAAATCCCTCTTTCCTATTAGTCTTTATTACTTCTCCAGGGACATCTGGCTCTCCAAGGACCCTGAGCAACCACCCGAGCAGGGGCCACAGGCACACCAGTGTTCACCAAGTGCCACCGCTGACTACTCCAAAAATATGTCCAGTTTCAGTTAATTTCTGGATTAAATCAGCCTGTCCTGCAATATGTCTTAGTCCTGGATTTATTGTACGGTTTCCTTGCTCAGATCCACCCTGTAGGCAACAAGTACAATACTGTCTGCTGGCAAACAGGGAGGACATGGTGGGGTCTGAAAAGAAAGGTGAAAGAAAAGAAAGATTGAACTCTGGTTCCCTTTGTGTATCTTGCATGAGTTCCTTGTGTGTTACACCCTGCACTTGCCTACTGGTTCTCCTCATTTAGAGCGGGTCTATCAAGCACTTCCTAATTGGCTTTTTACCGTCTGCAGACACCAAGCCTGCAATCAGTACTCACAGCGCCAGGACTAAAACACATTCCCTTCTGTGCTATGACATGGAGAAGGCTGACATCCCAGCATGTTTTCTAACTGTGTCCTCTGTCAAGCTCCTCATTATTTCAGTTGCACAGCCAGAATAATTAAGATACGTCCTTCTTAGCTTTTATAGCATTGCTTCTGCTGACTGTCCAGTTCCTGGGAATCCTCCAGCACTGAAATTCCACCCTGTTTGCTGCAGTCTCTGATCATCTCTTGAGTCAAGTTGCTGTTTTTTTCCATTGATCTGCTTTTGTATGAACACGGGCTTAGACAGGGAATCAGGGAGGGACAAGCTGAGTGCGTGAATATCTGGTAACCAGAAAGTGTTAACTGATGCTCTGCATGTGGCATTTGGTTTCCACATCCAACATCTTTCCACCCGGTCATTGATGTCAATCCAAGAGCCCTGAGGAGAGGACTGCAGGGTGGTTTTAGGGAGCTTTCTTCTCTTATGGCTCTTCTTTCACCCCTACAAGTCACTTTGGGAATTCTGGAGTTGCCCATTCTCTCTGCCTGGCCAGCTCAGCACAGCTGAGGCTTTGCCAGGAGTCTGGAGGTGGCTACAGTTCTGCATTCATCCCACACTGACGTCAGCAGGTACGTCTATGCACTCAGACTCACAATCTGACATGGCTAGCACTGGCAGAATTGCTCAAGCTGGATGTGGCAAAGGTGCGGCTTCTTCTCGATGACTTTGAAGGTGACCAAGGGGTGAGTTTGTTCTGGAAACACAAGGGAAATACTTCCTCATGGGCTGCAGCCAATTTGGACAGAAACTTCCCAGCTGGTGTAAACCTGGTTCCATCACCATGATGACAAGCTGGTGGCCTGTGTTGGCCCTAGGCAGGTGAAAACATCCTCCAGGTAAAACAGAAATGAAAGTCCATGATGGAGAATACTAAGGTGAAAAGGAAATCCTTTTGATCCTTTGCTGAATATAGATGATTCCACATTCATCAGCAAAGATGAGCGGGCAGGGGATGGGTGCTGGGTCTCCAAAGCGTACCTCCATCGATGAAGCTGCACAAGCAACCATCAGTTCCATAGGGCCTGAGCAATCCTTCCTCACCATCTACAGCAGAGTCCAGCAAAAATGAGGACAGAAAGCTGAAGGGCGTAGTTGAAGTTCATAGTCTTGTCTAACATCATTCAGGACAAGGAATAGATCAGGAAATAAGATTTATTTCTGCTTCCACACTTCTAGAGCAAACATTCATGTTTCCCTACTATCCAACAGCACTGCTGCTCTCCAGTTAGGGTTAGAGACTGCTGCTCTGTAATCATCTCTGAAATGATGTTGAGGACCCAACTTTTCTGCAGAGTGCCATGGCTCGAGCACCATTCTCCCTCCGTTGTTCAGCTCTGTGTCATGCCAGTTTGTGTCTTTGGAGACTGTATATTCTCAGGTGCAACATAGCAAAAAGTCTCCTCCTCTGCCTCAGGGACAGCGACACATGCTGCTACTGTGTCTTTTGAATGAAGCTTCCCAGGGAGATAGCATCTGTTTTATGCAGCAGATTTGGTGCTCAATGATGTGAAAGCCATCTGATTTCATACTTTAAGCCTATAACATATACACATTTTTGTAACCATAATACTCAGCACCCTCGCCAGGTATCTGAGCCATGGTCTTGCAGAGAGTTAAGGTGAAAAAAAAGCATTCAGTGCAGCACAAGGAACTTCTGATCTCCGAAACTGCAGGAAAACAGAAAACTCCTTCCCTCACCTGCTAGTTGTATGAATCCAACTGATGTTTCCATCAGTCTAGAAGTTTTCTGAAGGGAAAGACTCTATTGTAGCACTTCGAGACTGTTTTTTACCTAACTATGACATGAAATTCATACAAGGTATGTGATTGACCCCTATACACTAGATTGCTACTGGCTGTACCCTACTGCATGAGACTTTGAACTAACTTGCCTTCTCCACCTTCAAAGAGCTGGACAACAAATACCAGGTCTTAAATGACCTGAGTTTCCCTCAAGGAAACTCCTCTTCTCAAGAAAATTGATTTAATTCTGAGTTTTCTATCTACAGCCCAGAAAGGCAAATAGAAAAGGAGATGAACAAGTGATATTTGGCAACAAACTATGAACACAAAAAAGCAGGGTTTGGCTTTAAACATTGTCCACTTCAACTATGTTACTTGGAATGCAGAAGGTGAATAGAGATGAGAGGATGCAGCAGGGATTGAATCTAAGCGGCAATTCTTATAAGGTGCAGAAGTGACTTAAGGAATTAGTTCTCAAATCTACAGAGCCCTTCCTGAAAAACCAGTGACCTGAAACCAAAGGTCCCGGCCTTCAGGGACTCCCCAGAGACAGACATCCGAGGTGGTATTCACCTATTAAAATGGGGGACTCAGCACAAGCGATCTAATCCACCTAAGCCGTGGCAGGTCAGCAAGCTCAGGGACAGACAGGGTGCAGCACGGTTGTAGGAGACACGGCTGGTGGCAGTGGCTAACAGCAACCCCCTCCTTCAGTGCCTGATGGGGAACGGCGGCTTGCCTATGTGGTTAGCTGTGACCCACGGTTAGACTGATCACCAGCAGTAATGCTCAGGAAGCCCATATAACCTTGGAAAGTTTCAACATTATTTTTAGGCAGAAACTACAAGGGCGATGAAGCTGGAAGAGATGACTAGTGACTAGCTCAGCTACCAACTATACCAGCAATCAGCCCAGTATAGAAGATTTGGGCTGCCATCACTGTACTTCAGAAAGGGCAAGAAATGGGCGTGGTTTGCTTTATGGGGGACTACCCAGTGACACGTAACTCTGTTATCCTTTTCTTCCTCTATTTGTGTAAATCCATTTGTTGGAACTGCTTGCATGCAGGTGGGGAAGTGCTGTCCATTAGGCACCCAGCTGGCTTAACCCAATCTCCCATATTCTTACAACTGTATTTGGGTGTTACTTGGATGAGAGCCCCTGGGGACTGAACCTGGCCCTTGTTACTGCCAGTCAGTGCAAGGCAGGAGGCTTACATTAGATTAGCGTTTAATCTGAATGGTTGTCAATATAAGAACCTGCTTCTTTCAGTCACATGTTCCGAACATACTTAAGGCATACGCATCATTTAAAACTGACAAGGAGACGTACAAAAGTTCATTCATTTTACAGCACCAACACTGAGCCCTAAAAAAAGAAAATTACAAAAAAAAAAAATCTTACCCTGCACTTACTCTTCCATTCTCTTTACTTACAAAAATACATTCATTTTCTTAACAAAAGTACAACTCTGATAATCAAATAAAATAATGAGATTTTCAAAATATAAAAATACTCTGCTACATTTCATCTACAGAAGCTTTCTATTTGATTTTGGCAGTTCCCTTTATTACTACCATATGCAAAGCGAGGACTGAATGCATCTGTTAGATAAATATCACATTGTCTCTCTGGAAAGAGGAAAACAGTTTATAATCAACTAAGTTTACCTTGCAAGAGAGTGAATTCAGATTCAGTGTTGTGCAATTCAGAGGCAGCTGCATAACTGATCTAGAAATAATATCTTAAGCCACATTCAAATTACTCCAATCAACCACAGCCAGCAGTTTCTGCAACCCTTTTATCACTGGGCTAAGTATTCGGCTTATGTAAACTGACACAGATCCACTGCCTTGTAGCTACAGATTTATAACAGCTGAAAACATAACCTATTAAAAAACATAAACGGCCTTTACTGGGACTTCTGGTTGTTTTTAAAGACGACTATTCAGAAATACACAAATATCACAGAATAAATCAAACCCCTAAAACTGTTTTCTATGATATTTTGGAGCTATGTGATATTACTACATAACTTACCTAATTCAAAGAGCAGTAAATCTGCTATTTCAAATTCCATCAGACTCAAAATTGGGTTTTTTTTGTTGTAAACACATATGCCCCAGGCATACATATCTTGATTTGTCCAAGAACTGAAACAAAAAATGCCCAGCCTTAGATGTCAATTCAACAGAAGTCTTAAACATAGTTAACTCTTACCCACACACACTCAAAATATCCCTAAAAGCTCACTCATGATTAAGTATTTTGCTGAATTAGGACAGTTCATTAGGCCTTAGACTTCAAACTTTCCTGAAAAGGTTTCAGTATTAAACTTGATGAGACACTCAATGGATGCACTGATTTTACTTCACAATGTCTTTAAGTAAAAGCTTTCCCAGTTTCCCAGCACTGGAGTCACTTCCCAGATGGCCCTGAGCAAATTACTTGTAGTCACTGCCTCCAGTGACACCTACGGCAAGTGCTCCCTAACAGCATCAAGCCAGTCCTCCAGAGGCACTTCCAGTATAAAATAAAGGCACCCTCCCACATATTCATGCAGTGAAGCCAGTGGGCTGTGTCTTGTCTTGCATTGTGCTAATTTCTTCAAGGTGAACAAGCCTTCAACTCTGGGATCCATCACTCTCCCCTCCAGATTTAGGTATGTCTTCAGAGTCCAGTCATTTTAGCTTAAGCTTGGAGCCAGCCTCTGGAGGTCTCTCTATCTCCACTGACTACAGAAGTAGCCCAGAATGACCAGGTCTGAACTTAAGTGCTCCAGAAAGTGCCTGAGGTTAGGTGTGTCTTTCACCTACAAAATGAGTTCAGCACTGTGAATCTATAGTAGAAATGAAGTTTCAGTTAATGTATCTAAAGCATGATGACATATCCCTGACTGAAAAAAAATCACCATTTAAAAGTCAGGTGTAGCCTCATTATTATAAAACACTGTGTGCAAGCTGAGATTAACAGCCATGCCATGGTGTTTTGTGAGGCAGAGAGCCTACACCACATGAGAAATGGGTGAGTATCATGATTACGTAAAGGCCAAAATTTACAGAAATTTGAATGGCATAGTCTAATTTTTGGAAGGGACTACTGATTTGGGGTATCCTGAGTGGAGATTATGTTTTTGAAAATGTTAAGTACTCATTCTCTGACAAAGATGAGTTTACAGGTGTCAGAAGCAAGGAACTCCAGTAATGAGAAATGTAAGGTTCTGTTTCATATAAAAATCTATGAAGTTAAATTACATCAAAATCTCTTTCAGAAAAAACTCTGTGTGAGAAAATCCTCAAAATATGCCTGCATCAGTTATTTGCTTCATTTCAAAACAAAGTAAATCCTAACTTCGTATAGCATACTTCAGGATTCCCAAGTGCTTACCAGACACAACAGTGTGCAATTTATAGGTAGACTTCCTGTTCAAAATCCACCCCAGGCTCTAAGGGTGAAATACATCACATGACTTAAAATTTGGGTTGTGCATCACATTTACACTTTTTTCCCTTGATCTACAAGTCCCTAGAATCTCCTGTTGCAATGAAATCACAGCCTTCTGTTAATCATTGAAAAATTAACAAAAAAAACCCAAGACTTCAATAGCTTATGTTCCTGAACATTTGTAATGTCTTTTTTAGCACAGTGCATGGAGTTCGATACATATTTTGCATGGTGGTGTCCTCTCTTGATTTCATTACTGACTGTGTCAGAATGATCCTTTATCCTTTTTGATAAAATGTGAGCAGAGAAATGTCCCAGAAGACTCTCACAGAGTTTGTGCATGGGATGCGAGACTATTTGTAAAGTCACTGTATTCAGAGCTTTCAGACAGAAGTGTCCTCTTTATGGTCATCCAGGTTCTCTGTACTTTGATGGCTCCTTCTGTTAAAAGCAGAACAAATGATACGTGAACAGACTTCTGGCTTTTATTGCTAACTAATCAAGCTACAGTTTGGCAATCTCAAACAACTGAGAACCACCAGCAAGGTATAGTTGTTATGGACAGTGACTAAAGTACCTAAACAGGAGGACCAGTCCCATTTTAGATTGTTTAGCCTGTCCCCTCTGGTCTGCAGCTGCCACTCAAGAAAGCAGCTGGTGCATGAGAGGCCTGTGTCATATCTGCCAACCCCATGCAGGTATCTTAGATACCTTAGGGCAATGAAGTGGTCCCAGATACCCACGCTTAGGGCCTGGAATCGATCCCTTGACAGGAAATCAGTTTCCAACTCCATTAACTTGGGATAATAAAAACAAGATGGAGTAACAATATATGTCGATATTTAATCCATCAATCTGCTAGGATAGACTGTTCTTACATTTGTCCTCAGTATACCAAGGCTTCATTTGACAGAGGTGGATAATTTTGAGCTAGGCAAGATTTTCTTTGGAGAGGGAGGAAAGGGGAAGAAGGGAGAGTGATAGGGTAAAAAAGGTCAAAGCTCTCCTTTCTTTTTCTCCCACGATCTCCTGCCTACGCCTCTGAATGGTTTGGATGTTTTTCATATGCCATAAACACCAAGAATGCAGTCAAGAATCCCATTTTCTTCCATATACAAGTAAATTGTAACTATTGACATTTTCTCCAGAAATGTAATCTATGTAGAATATTCTTCATTTCTGGCTTGAAACACTGCCCTGCAATACTGCTTTGTGCACCACCCCAGAGAAAAAGTAAAATATAGCAGCCAATATATCTGATAAATGGTCCTCTAAGCAGGTAATACTACACTACAAAAATAAGATACTGGAGCATGTAATGGTACCATTCAGTTAATAATTCAGCTAGTAGAGTGTTGTTTTGTTTTGTTGTAAGGAATATAGAGGTGTATGTTGGTAGCTAATAATTTTTGCCCAGTATGACTAAGAGCTGCTGTGGTGATGTTACTGCTGTTTGCTGCCAGTTCAAACCTACCTTAACACTTCAAGTGCAAGCTTTGTTTCCTTCCGACTTTCTTCAGTGATTGGGTAGAAAAGAAGTATAAATAAACCTACAAGGATGAGGACAGCAGGGACCACTCCAATGAGGATTTTCAGTGTGAGGATCACATCGTTGGATTGTCTGCACATCCCTGGCTTGTATCCAGTAAACCTAAACAAATGGAAATAACAGTGGTGGGTGTATGTCCAAAGCTAAAAGGCAGTTGTTCATCTGAAGGCCCCCTTCTTGGGTCACTCCTTTCCCCCCAAAACTCTTTAAGACTTTTCTCCCTTTTTTTCCCCCTACACCTCACTTTTTCCTTCCCCTCATTACATGTTTCAAATCTTGTTTTTCAAATCTCATCTTTGTGCTCGATTTACAGATAACTGCATTACCTTTGCATTTTCTCATTATTATTATGTAACATTTAACTACTAAGAGAAGCATGGAATCCCATGTAATGAAATTGATCTGTTACGTGTTTCCTATTAATATTCAGCCAAGTATTTAGGCTCTGCTTTAAAAGTGTGCAAGTAATCTGACCAATTTCAACAGCAATAATTAACTTTAATTTAAACACACACTTAAGCACTCTTCTCAAGATAGACAAATTTACTCAAGTGCTTAGAGTTAGGTACACACTTACAGCTCATTGATTCAGGTCTTTCATGCAGTCCCACAACTGCTGATATACTCAAATTTCCATTCCCAATTTGTGGAATGATTTTATTTTCCTCTGAACATACACCTATCAAAGCTTAAGATCACTTAGCACCACTGTCTTCTGTGTTCTCCCACAAACATCTGCCTTGCCAAATTGCTGGGAGCTAACTGGAATGCAATTGAAAAGGGGCTAATTGGTGAACAGCAATTAGTTTGAGGGTGTGTGCTGCTTTTGGCTGGGATAGAGTAAATTTTCTTCATAGTAGCTAGTATGGGACTATGTTTTGGATTTGTGCTGAAAACAGTGTTGATAATACAATAACCGTTACACACGATGGAGCCCTGCTTTCCTGGAGATGGCTGAACACCTGCCCGCCAATAGGAAGTAGTGAATGAATTCCTGTTTTGCTTTGCTTGCATGCACGGCTTTTGCTTTACCTATTAAACTGTATCTCAGCCCACAAGTTTTCTCACTTTTACCCTTCTGATTCTCTTCCCCATCCCACTGGGGGGGGAGTGCACGAGCGGCAGAGTGGTGCTTAGTTGCCAGCTGGGTTTAAACCACGACAGGGTGTTAGCAGTAAGCATCTAAAATTCCTAAGCTTGAAATGTTCAGCCAAGCACTGCCTGTTATTTAGCAGTTTCGGCTGAAGGCCCTGAAGCAAAACATTCTGGTTACCAAAACCTAACTTGGAGCCAAGGGCTAGATAGTATTTCAGACAAGTTCCCTTCTAAGCGTTTATTGTGTGTTTGTGTGCTGTATGTATACTGAAACCTAGCAGCTGCAGGCAAAGGCCCTTTCTGCTAGGCCATGCACAAAAGCAGGGCAGGAGATGGCTGACCACTTTCTCAACCTGACTATCCAGTCAGAACAGACAAGGCAAAAGTAGAAGGAGAACACAAAGCATCTTCCAAACCGACATGGTCTAGGTGATGGGCAGAGCTGTGAGAAAGACTCTGTTCCTGACTCCGATCAGTGTCCAGTTCCCTAAAACCATGCAGGAATCGGTGATCCTTTTATGCTGAACAGGCCACTAGGCACCCCTGAAAGCCCCCCAATCCATGTAAAGACTTACAAGCTCATATACAGAGTCCAACCCAGATGCAACAGGGAATGCACAAAGCAGCTGTATCACTTGTGGGGGACCTTCATCTGCTGAGCTTTCATGTTTAGTTCTTTATTCATATAAGCCACTAAAATTTACATGAGCAATTTGGAAAAAGGAAAATCTAAAGGGAAGTCAGGTCCTTCTGAACTGAAACATGTTAGGGCAGGCAACTTAATGCTCAGTGGTCTGGCTTAGATGATAACAATCCTGTCTTTAGTGGTTAGACATCTGGAGCTGCTGGCACTTTCAGGCCCAGGGCAAAAAGGCAATTAACTCTCCAGGGTAAAGGCAGAATGCTTTCAGAGTAGATCCACTAAAAGGAAACACAGTGTTACTTACTCCAGGCCTGCTGCAGAAATTCCTAAGCCAATTCCTGCTGACATCTTGGTAAAGAAAACATAAGAAGAATAGAAAATGGTTTCATGTCCTTTTCCATGAGGATTCTGCAGGCGAAAGTTATCAACAACATCAGGCAGCATTGACCTAGAGATGAGCAACATACAAGAAAACCTCAAGCCAAAATCTGTTCTCAAAGTCCAAACTTTCTGAAAGAGTATACCCCTCCTCCCTTCTTAAGATCTTATTGAGGTAGTCATGCACATGAAAGAATCCAGTTCAAAAAGTTCTACTGCTGGACAGGAGGGCAAAAATCCATGTAAGAAACACATGGCCACATATTATGAAGTAGAAAACCAGCTGAAAAACTATCAAACACCTGCTGGGAGGTGACAGAATTCTTTAGACTGACTGTCATTCCAATCAGAAGTTGTGTTACTAAAAAAAGAACAACAAAAAACATGTTTCTTAAGATTTCAAGGGGCTCTGAATCTCTGAATAGTTTCACTCTGAAATAACTCTTTTGACAAGCTAACAAAATTTTCAGAAACCAATGAGGCCTATTCTCTCTCTATTTCAAAGAGACTGAATTTGGTAATGGGGAATCAGAATGGAAGCTGCTCAAATATCAACTGTGAATTGACATTTTATTTCCAATATATGTCATGATTTACTGCTAGAAAAAGGGCTTCTCACCCTCTGTGCAGAAAAACTTGTGTAGTCTGACAGCTTATTTCAAACTATGTTTCCATGATCTCTTGGAGTTTTCAGGGCATTGTACAAATGAGTAATGCAAAACAGCTCCCAGCAGTGGTCTTGCTTTCTGGTCAGTTTGACTGAATAATAATTACTCCCTTCGGAGAGAAAATGTCCCACCCTGCTCACCCTTGAGTAGTTTTTTTTACCCACATGTTTTCAGTCCTCAAGAGAAAAGGACCTTGAATTCTCAGTTTCTTTTAATCATATTTTTGTGTTATTTAATCTATAACAGAGGACTACTCAATCAGGAATATATAGCTTGGCTTACGTTTCCTCTGCTACGTTCTTAATTGCTCAGCATTAATTGATTTATCTAACTTCATCGTTCCTGTAGTTCTGTTAGAAACCAAACCTAGGCAACTGATTTACTGTTATCGCAAGTTGTATAGCTACTTAGATTATTGATTCATCTACATACTCTTATGTACAAAGACCAGCTACAGTTACAGTAGACGTAATCTGTTAATAACAGGGCAACCAAAGTCACGTCATTGCAAATAGCCTCTATCATAAAAGCAGAAAAAGATTCTTGGAAGAAGTGACTCTTGCCAAACTCTGCCTCTTTCAGAGGCAAATTCCATGCAGTAGTACGTACACGCAGACATATACCCCTTCCCCAACTCAGATGTAAAATTCTCCTACCATGGCAACAGAAGAGATGCTGCAATGCTCAGACCAGAGACGAACGCCACTAAGTAAGCCAGGATCAGGTTTGGAATGGTCACTAGCATGACTGCAAAAGGAATCATCCACTGAAGATGAAGAAAAACAGTACATTTAACTTACATTACGCACTGCTCAATGGTATATAGACAGTTCCCTTCAAAATATAAGATTGTGTTACAAAACAGTTCATGCACAGCAACACCTAATACTTCAGTATTTTGGTGAAATGACATTTCCAAAGAGCCCTGAGCCAATCTCTATTCACCTATTCAGAAGAATCAGAGAAAAATAGGACATGCAATGTTAGTGCCTTCTCTGTTAGCAGTATTAGGGCTATAACTGCACTAGTAAATTGAACAGTCCCAAGACCCTATTTATCAGTCATGAGGCCAGTTGGCAGACCCTGGCCACATTCATACTCCTAAACATTCACAGTCTGCAAAAGAAGTGTGGCCATATAAATACTTTTTGTGAAGAGCCCTTAAGTGGGCTAGTTCCCAAACTGTGCTCAGATATTTCTTGGGAGACTGCTAATCAGCTTGTGCTAAGATTTTTCTGCCAGTTTAGTAATAGTGATGACCAACCACAGGTTTCTATCCTAGGCCAGTGGAACTATTTAATTCACTGGGACAAAACACTGAAACATCATCACACTGCATTACAAGGGGAGGGGCAGGGGTTCAACAGTCATTTTAAACTGTAAATATCCTATTTCACAGATCATCTTGAGTCTTGAATAAAGAAAAGTTTGCTTACACCTCCATTTCCAATGACCACTTTAAAGTAATCTAGGTACTCTGCAATAACTAAAACCAGGAAGGCAACGTGGTTTGCTCCCATTCCACACAGCCAGATAGGCTCATGACACTGCACAAGTCACTAAGGCTACTCTCAAAACCAAGCTAATTTGGGATGCTCAGGATTTGTTTTCTGGCAGTACTTAAAACCACCTGATTTCCTCAACTTCCGCTTGAAGCAATGGGCTTACAGGATTGAAAATCCACTATTTTAAATGCTGATTGAATGCATACAGCCCAGCTGCCCTGTACACATCACATGCTCCATCTCCCACGCCTGTGAACCATGGGCACAGCACATGTAGAATCCAGAACCAGAGGCTTACCTACAGGGCTTTTTAATGATGGGGGATTAGTTTAACATTAAGTGTTTCAATCCTCTATACTTGCAGCTTGGGAGCTGAGGGTATGAGAAGAGCTTTCACAGAGAGTGATTCCCCTAAGCACTGCTATTTACAGTTCTGTATGATAAATGATTCTGGGAGTCCTGGAGTCTAATCCATTATGTTTATGTTTTAAATGCATTTCCCATCTAAAGCATTTGCTCCTAACCTAAGGAGGCAGAAAATAACCTTTCCTGACTGCAACTTCCCAGCACAGACAGATAATCCTTGCATTAGCCCAATGCTGTGGCAAAATCGTTATTTCACCACAAGAGAGCACTCCAGCAATACAAGATTTTATGTTGCCTATAAGCAATTTCATGACTGCCTTATGCTCCACACGGGGCACCCACTCATAAACCAAAGCACTTAAACAAAATTCTAGATCGATAATAATAATCATTGTAACTGTAATTTTCTACTGAAAGAGAAGCACGACCCGCAGGACTGAGGCTACAATGCCTTAAATTCTCACACATGCAACAGTAGTGCAATCACAGGGCCAGTGTTCCTGCTGTAATAAACAGCTAATGCATCTCCTTCTTTCCAACTCTAAAGCAAATACTCCATTATTGGCACCCTGCTCCCTAGTCACAGGGCCTGCTGCCCTCCGAGTCATAAACAATATCCTCCAGTTATCACGTGTCTTTCATCCATTCCCAGACAGCACTATCAAAGGCGACCCTGCTGGGATGCTAAAGGTGGTACTGGCTTGTGCAGCAGCACATTATAAAGGGCAAATTAGGAAAAGGTGCAGCTAGGATGTGAGTGGAAATGGGGATGGGAGGGTGGAAAAGGGACTGCACAGCCAGGATTCACCCAAGGGCATGCCTCCATGCTGTGCAGTGCTGATAGATGGCAAATAAACAATTGTGTATGTGTGGGGAGGTGAAAAGATTGGAGGCGTTTTTGGATTTGTTTTTATTTTTTACTAAATCCTCCAAAACCTGCAGCCAAAAGCTATTATTAGCTAGGATGGAAGCTAGGGTTGTGAGAGTGAGCAATATTCTAGTTTCAGACAACTTGCCAAAACCATGAACCAACAAGCTGCCACACTTCTTAAAATTTCTCATGATAAGCTTCATCTCTGGTCAGCAGCTGAGAGACTTACTGATTCTAAGTTCAACGTTTTCCCCATGAGGGCAGAGCAGACAATCTAAATGAACATAGCATGTGGAAGCAGACACAAATAAACAGAGGAGAATAATTCCTACCTAGCCTGTGCGCCAGCCTGATCACAGGAAGAATGCTATCAAGGATCCTGCTTGGGCATGACCATATACCTCCAGAAAGTCTAGGCTTTAAACTTCCAGGAAGTTTAGATAATTAGTCAGTACTTAGACTGTTGGCCATCTCTTGTGGAGGAATGAGTAAAAGGGGAGCAGTATCAGTAGCAGGAAGCCAAGATTCTTGTTGCTTATCTACCTACCTTGCCTTCTATACTCTTTCAGGGGTCTCTTCGACATAGGACCACTTTAACAGGAAAAATTAGTCTGGAGCAGTGTGTATTTTTTTTCAGGAAACTGAATTTCAAATTACACCTTCACCCTGAAATCTGAGTAAGGTTTTGGAGAAAAAAAACTTGTTTTCTCCCCTGTCTCCTTCCCTTCCAGAAGAACATTCCCCAGTGACAAACACAGGAGCCTTAAATGATGTGATTTTATTTCACAGTGAGAGAGAACAGATTAGTTGTACAGATCACACAAGCTGGTAGTATAGGAAGCCCCTCTGATGCATTGCCAGACACAAAATCCATCACTGAGCACACAGAGTCCCTTGAGAAATGTCTACAAGGTGAAATAAAGAGATGGCTTTTTTCAGTCCAGCCCCCACTTAGACCATAACACAGTCAAGCAACTCAACTGTAAAATTAAGTTAAACCATGTTTACAGAGGTACTGACAGGCTTTCCAGTCATGTTAAACTAAATTTATAGAGCCAAGTTGGTTGAAGAAAGCATTTTTCGTAGCCAAGTAGACAGAGGAGGAGATTTCCTAAGGAGGAAATCTGCATTCCCTGGTCCAGTCAATGGTCCAATACTGCTTTTGGCAATTCTCTTTGCTGAAGTGGTAAAAAGAAATGAGGATGGGACTTGGATTCCAGATGCCTACTTCAAAACACATAACCATTCAGCATATTTGGAACTTGGGGTTTAAAGTTATTTCTGATTCTTTGGAAGTCATTCCAACACATAGATTTGAATTCCAAAAATTACTGTTCAATTATATTCAACAATTGTCACCAGACCTAAACTTTGTTCAGATTCTGACATATAGCTTCAGGCTAGATTTTCCAAGTCCTCATGCTTTGTTGTGCACAAGGCAGACAATTTTTCTTTCCTCTTTCATAAGTAATTGAAGGTAAACGGGGGGAAAATGGGGAGGAATAGGCCTATACAATGACTCAGTGAGGATGATGACAGAAAATTGCTGCTGCCTGCACTAAGTGAAGAACTTAAAATAATCCATCAGAGATGAGGGCAGGCTTGCTGACCTGGCTTTGCAGAGATGTGTCAAAGTTAAACTAGGCTTCTTTTCTCAGGTAGATCACCTATTTCTTTACTTTACTAATAACTGTCCATCTCCATTCAGAGGGATGTGGGCAGCCCTGCCTTCTTACATTTCTAGAGAAGGATGAGTAACAGACTTCTGTTTCCTCCTCTGTGACTGAATTACAGATGCAGTCAACTCAGCACCATATACAAAGACAAAACAAGCCTTGTACAGCAGATAACTTGTCAACCTGAAGCAACAGAGATCTGAATTTATAAAATCTCATTGGGGTTCACTTCTGAGAGCAGTCAAATGCAGAGCTTGTGCAGATTCTTAAATAAACTTGGACATCCCTTCCGCATCAATCCATTTCTCAAAAGTTTCTCTTGGAAACTTGGAATGTGCCTGAAATTTGGTATAACGATTTAAAACAAACCCTAAAACTGAGCAAATTTCATGTAGTTTGAGGTTATAAGCACTTGAAAGAGCTCCTGAAGTGGCTCCAGTTGTCAAATGAAGTGAGCACAAGCAGATTTTTTTCTCAAAGGATTTGCTTACCGAAATCCCACATGCTGCACACTTCTTGCCAAATCGCTGCAGAAACTTCTGCCAGAAGGGAATGCTCACAGCTGCTGATACCTACAATTGACAAAAACCCATATCTGTACTGTGCTTACTGCCACTCTCTTCTTCAGCTGTAGAGCTCACAGACATCTTTTTGTCTAGTACATTACAGTTTGAAAGGAAGGTGAACTTGCAGATTCCTGTTTCTCCTCATCCTTTGAGTGAATTTTTTTTTTAAATTCACTATTATGTACTATAAACAAAAGCTATCCATGAGAGAGTTTTCCACAGTCAAATATCAGAAGGCAGTGTCTTAAAAATTCCCTTTCCTAATGTAAGCCACAGCAGTTAAAGCTATACATGATACGGTCATTAAAGTTCAAAGATGCTGCAAGTAGTCATACTTTGCTAATGCCTTTTGCCTCATTATCTAAACCTGAAAAATGATAAGTGAATTAAGCTCTACCCCATCGTACAGAAAGAAAGCTGAAGCAAAAGATACACTTATCTTAAGATATACTTAGAGTACATATCCCATATTACATGTTTATTCTTAGGAACAACCTGTAAGAGAAATAGTCACTTACAGTCAACATTACCATTTCATATACTGTAATACTCACCTGGTAACAGGAACAACCACAGGCAACATAGTACCAATGCACCCAAGTATTGCTACTAGTGACAGTCTTATGATTGACCTAAATTCAAATGTCATCTCATTGTTATAGTTACATTCTACTCTTTACTGACTTTACTGCCTCTTGCCTCTTTTCTTGGTGTCCATTGCTTGCAGAGCCTTAAGATACCCAGCAGTCATCCCTTGCTCTCCAACATTTTGGGTTTAATAATTGGAAAAGATCTGTCTTCTTAATGTGGGAAAGGAAGAATCAAAAAGGGGAAGAAAGGGTGAGAGGGTGGGGTGCTGGGACCAAGAAGTAGAAATGAAGTTCCCCTCAGATGGCTCCACAAAGTCTCTGTGCCAAACGGGTCAGAAATCATGTAACAGCTTCCCTGAAAATGACTGCTGCAGTATTCTATATGGTAGACAAATTCTCTACAAAATATTTCAAATTGCAGAACATGCACATCCCAGTAATTATGCAGCATTAAATGTTCTACTTGTGTTAAAAGGACTTTGGTCAGAAGGATGAAAATGGCAGTTTTCAATTAATATTACTTGTAATCACGAAGTAAATCATGCAATACAGGAGCAGTGTGTAACTGAGTTATAAGTACCACCTAAGCAAGCAGAATTCTACCTCTGCATGTCAAGAAAAAGATTCTGTAAAAGGATCTTTTTATCACATTGCCAATTGCTTTGGAGAGGAATCTTCATATCTCTGGATATTTAAAATATTTATCCTTGCAAGCTGCCTAGCCCAGAAGGCTGATGTGTATGAGTACACAAATTAAAGTTGTTTAGTTTTCAGCATATCAGACTGGGGAAAGGGAAAAAGGAGCTAAAATTCCAGACCTCATTTCTGGCAGCAGCTTTTGTCCTTTATAGGAGCAGAAAGTGGCTTACAGGTAAAAGCAACAAGGAATTAATTAAAAGCTCCAAAACATTAATTTTTTATAAGTACAGTAGGGAACACCAGCTTTATTTCAAACAGGCAGTGGAAAAGATGGTGTAGCTTCCTAACAGCTCTGTCTAGACACAAAACTCTTCTTGTCTTCCGTTATTTTGTGCCAAAAACCAGTGAGAACCAGCTACCAAATAAAAATATGGGAGAGAAGTGCAACTCACCAAGATAGTCACCACCAAATACTGGAAGTGATTGCGAAGATCAGCAGCATAAGTGCAGAAAAGGACAAAGTTGCTCTGCTCCAGCTGTTGAATTAAAGACATTTGGTGACCACCAGAAAACAAAGAAAAATTAAAAAAGACAAAAATTATTTCACACTCCATACTAGCCAAACATATTTGGTGACTGATTTGTTAAATGTAGAATTTGGGAGTCTCATTCTTCCCTCGTTTGCAACAATTTAAAGAAGGAATAACTCTCCTGCTATCACTGGAGTAACATGCCAATAATATTGGGGCAAGCAAGAGCTAAACCATGCACCTAATACAGCATAAAAATGACCAAAACAGGAACTGTCTTATGAGAGAATTCTGTTTAAAGGCTTTATTCCCGATGTTGCAATTGCCTTGTGTTGTTGTCACAGCTGCAGACTACTGCAAGAAATTGCCCTTCCTTTTCCATAGCAATGCCATAAATCTTTCACCAGAAGCTCTTGACTCCAAAACAAGTTACTCTTCAGCTGCAATTACACTCACGCCAACTTCCTGTAGTAAAGCAGCTAACTGCTGGTTTTGTATACAACCTTGGCTATGGAGTGTAGCTTTGGGTCAGACATCTCCATAAGTCTGAGTACTCATTGGATGGGAGGATCTAGCTGCACTGTGTTATAATGACAGATGAAGCCACTGCCACCATGCTTTTGCAGAATTCAGGGGGGTTCTGAATACCAGAATATGGTTCAGGCCCAGATCCAGCAATTTTGCAGAAGTGGAACAACAGAGGAGGATTTAATACTCATGCCACAGCAGTATGATCAACTCTTGCTCCTTTGTGTGCTTGTAGATAATAAGTGCACAATCATCTGTATACAAATTAGGATAAAAGATATATCCTTTCTCCATTGCCACCAAAACCTTCCCTAGTTTGTGTCCCAGTTCACCTGCCTTCGTTTTAGATGTAGAATATCACGCTCTGGGATTATGGCCAATGCATCTTCATCTGTCTGTTCCTTTGCTTACCAGTAATCCACTCACTAAATTCCACGAAGTCAGTGGAACAATAGCAAGGGTTGCTCACGCTGGCTGAACTGGAGCAATACAGCTTCCAGCTTCTGCCTCCCCTCATACCTTCCCTTCATTTTTTACAAATAGAAAAATAAAGAGATGTGGACTGACAGAAGTTCTTTTCCTCCTGGGTGTTGTCAGCAAGTAGTTGGCTGCAGCAACCAGATGTGCGCTGTATCCTTACTGACTGAATGGATGCTGGAAGGGTCCGGACCATAAGGGACCTTTCACCTTTCATCTTCTCCCTGTCTCTACTGTTGTTCACAGTGCCTGCAGCTCCCAGATATAAGCAGAAATGCTTCTGCTATTCCAGCAAGGACTGACAGATGGTGTAAAGGACAGCCTACTAACTGTGCCCAAATCCAGGCCAACAGGAAACTTCAGCGATTCTTTGGCAAGCAGACTTTTAAGCAGCCCTTCCAAGGAACTTACTAATTCACCAGGACTGCTGGTGAACACAGTACTGCTCTCTTACATGCCCTGTTCTTGCCCCCTGTCCTGATATTTACTTGATCAATGGCTCATGTGCCTAGAGTCCGTTGACAAAAATGTGAATATTATTTGTTTTTCAAAATAAAGCCAACTTCAACTGATATGTACAGGTTCATGTTAAATTAGCACATTTCCCGAGTTGACGATAGCTCAAAAATCAAGCTTTAAAAAGACTGATGGACTATGGGGAGTAAGGGTTTCTTACTGAGTGGCTTTAAGTTTTTCTACAGCTTCTCTTGACAGAAGGATGTATTGCATCTTTTTGAGAGCACCACATTCAACTGCAGGTCCTCATTTGAAAATTAGGTCTATCTAGCTCTGAGAGAGGTAAGACCTCCTGCCTCTGAACATCTTCTTACTCTGACCTAATGCCTTCCATCACAAAAGACTCCATAAGAACCAATTCAGCCACTATCTGAGAACAGCCACCTATGCAAAGGAAAGGGGCAATGGTTTAAAGCGGCACACACTATAGAGAACAGAGAGAAGAGAAAAAGCATTCTCTAAGCAACTGAAACCACAGGAGACTGTAGATGGATAACATATAATGACCCAATCTGGGTCACTAGGACTAGTTCCTCACCTTTTATGGAAAAAAAAAAGAAAAGAAAAAAAAAAGCCATCTATAAATGGTCAGGACTTTGGTTTTACTTCTCGTTTGAAAGAACCATCTCCAACCGCACAGGACCCCAGGCACCAAAAAAGGACTCTGGTTCCCTACTGATTTGTAGGGGAAGGCACCACCCCCTAGATCACCACCTCCAGTCACCAGCCAAAGGTTATTTGCATTTTAGCTGCCGCAGACTATCCCATGCTGAGACTGGAATGAGGCCAACACACGGACTTAAAGAGTCTGGAAGTTACCTGAACTGCTGTCGAGATGAGAAGAAATGAAGCTGTAAGCTTCACATATGGACCATGCTTCATGGTGAGTCCAAGCCCCTTACAAAAAGGAATTGCTCTGTCTGAATTTAAGGCATAAGGATCTAAGAGGAGAGGAATACATAAAATAAGAATCTTTTCCATAGATAAATGTGAAATAATTATTATTAAATCTAGGCATATTTAAATATATCTTACCATCTTTTTCCTTTACTCCAAGAAAAAGAATGACAATTCCAAGAAGATATACACCTCCTATGACCCCTGCTGCAATCATATAAACTTTTGCCTTTGAAAAGAAAAAAGACATTTGAAATTGTGACAGGAGGAATGACAAGTCATTATGAAAATTTCAGTCTCTTTCTGGTGAGTCATCTGCAAATAAAGAAATGCCCATCTACATACAGTCAACTATCTGTCTTTTACCTCTCTGAAAAATGTTCACTTCTGCAGTTCATATATAAACAACACCTACTTTAAGATAAATCCAGGGCACATAAGTATTTATTTCTTGGGGAAAAAAAAAAAAGAAAAAAAAGAAGCTGCGAACAAAAGGGCTACTGTGTTGGCAACCTGAATGTTTTAAAAATTTGTTTACGTTCAGACTAGCTATAGATATACACAGTCATCTATCAAAAAAATGCAGCATCCATAGAGCAATTCTAATTTTTAGTAAATCCAGTTGCTCTAGCTACACAGACTGCAATCTGTATCTTCATGCTGGGTGGGAAAGGCCTCAGTACTGATGTAAACATAATTACTGCATTTATACATAATGTTAATGAAAACTTCCTTTAGGCTCTAATGAATTTTAGAAATCACACTTTCATGCCAATGTTTTGAGAATATGGTAGCTTGCATGCTTGTTTTCCCAGTTACTTAGTGAAATATTCAAACAAATTCAGAAATCTTTGCTTCCAATTAGCTAGGGGAACAAAGCCCCCAAGGATACCTCCCACATAATCAGATCACATTTATTATATCTAACTCTGATTACACTGACTCTGGAATAAAGCTTTAAAAAATAATTTTGCTTTAGTATTCTGTAATAATTTATTTTATACTGTGTTATCAAAGATAAAAAAAGTGCTGGTTATAGAGCTTTATGACACAATGATTATTTGATAGGAAAACTGAATTCCAAATTATCAGTTATATGTTGCAAATGAAATGATTATAAATCTAGGAAGCAGCTAGTAAATAAGCATGCAATTACAAGAATATACTCCCAAATATAAAGTCACTTAGTATAGATGCAAAGGTAGTCAGATGAACCGTGTAAGTATAGACACTCTTCAAGACAACAGCTTTTGTTAAGATATTTGCATTTTAGAAGGGGACATGGTGAAATAAAGGAATGCAGGACTATTCTTTATTTGGGATAAAGTTTTGGGTTTTTTTATATCAGAGTCTTAATATATATCAGACTTAATATAAATTAAGTCACAGGGTACTTTTATGCTATCAGTTATGGCTTGCACAGACTACAGACTGCAGTACTGTAGATACCTGAAGCCACTTAAATGAGGTAATTTCAGCCTCAAAAGCAGCCTAGCCAGGAGAGAAGGGACTGAAAATAAAGCATAGTAACAGAACTCTGTTATGAATTTTGTATTTCGTGTCTATTTATTTATTAATTTGCTTGAAGCACTTGACTTAAATGCTTTCTTTCACAGGTTATCGTTAAGTGTAATTTGAGCTTAAATTATCAAGGTTATTCATGGTAGGCCAAATAAGATTCTCTGACCCTAAACAAAATTTGTTAGCCCATCTACAAACTATATCAATATCCATGCTTGGTTTCCAGTAGCGAAAATCTGCTCCTAAGCTTACAGTAACAACTTCAGGAGAGCTTAGAAATAACCATTTCTTCCACTTTCTTTAATAATGAGCAAAATAATATCAGTCATTCATTAGGTCTTCTTTTAAAGTAGGTGTGCTCTTGAGCAGCTAAGAATTAGTCCTTGTGACAAAAGGGTCAGGGTAATACTCCTGAATGGCACTAAAAGAAAGTCAAGATTTGGCCTCTTCTAAAAAATTTTTTTTAGACTTATGGAGGTACTTCAGGTTCATAGACCTGCCTCAACTTAGAATTCGATGTCCAACAGTCATAGAACCAACATTCAAGATCCGAAATCTCCTGCTGATTGTGCAGTTAGGTGCGTATTCTGTTGTGCATGGTGTGAATAAAAGGCAAGTGCCCTGTCATGCGATACAAGCAGCTCCCCTACGTGGTTCGGTGGCCATGCATGCTCCTATAATCCAACCAAATTGATGCCAGGTTATGTGAATGGCAAAAAATTTTGGTCCTCACTTTTTGTTTTGTTTGGTCCTCACTGTTTTCAGGGTAGCAGGGAGTGAGGTGGGTTGCCAGAGCAGTTCATTCAGACTATAGCCTCTGCCCAGGCCTGAGGGGTCTTTGGGAAAAAGCAGGAAAGAACAAGGAGTGAACAGAACCTCACCCATGGAAAACGGTTGGACACCATAATCCAGACTGTTCTCAACCATGGGATACTACTCATCTACAAAACCTGAAAAGGTGACACACAAAACAGTGGAAGAAGGAAAAAAACAAAGACCAAAACAAATAAAGAGGAAATTCTCACAAAAAATGAACACATGGCTGTTTGTAAACAAGGAAGTGAAATGAGGAAGGTAATTTCTTTATTTAAATCAACCCATACAGTTGAAAAAAAAAAAAAAAAAGGTCAAGTTTCCAGTCACACTGCAACTTCTTTGGATCTGAAAAATGTTTGTGTGTCTAAAAGCTTTTCCATTGTTTCCCAGTGTTAGTGGCTAGTTTAATGAAAGGTATTACCTTCTACCTGGCTACTTTAGGCTATGTATCTTTGCTAATTTTTCAAAATAAAAAACTACTTGACATTCAACTCATTGTGAAGCTTCTTTCTCCATCTCTCTCCTACCTCAAAAAGGACAGGAAAGCACACGTGGTTAGACAGAAAGGAAATAAGATCATGGGTTTTTTTTTTCCTTGAAAGCCATTTAAGAGATTTGAAAGTAGAAGTTGGTGATTATGGCATAAAGCAGATTCAGACAGGCAATCTGCTGTGCAATGAAATTCAGCTAGCTCCTCAACTTTTCAAACTACTCCTCTTGACAATTCACAGAGTTGTAATAGCACAGTAGTTTTCTACATCAAGACATTGTCCTAGAAGCTAAAAAGGAAAACAGGATGATGTTCTGTGTCTTGTTAAAATATACACTAGAAGTTACCTAACAAGCAGCTTCAAAAACACTTTAATCAGCTATAAAATGGTATGGCCACTTACAGAAGCAGCCCAGCTCTCCCCAGGCAGTTTCCCAGATCAGCTCTCTGAGAAGCCTTACAATGACCTGTGCCAAAAAACAAGGATCAGCTAGCACAGAGGCAAAGAATAGTGTCTGGGGGTTGGGGGAGGCAAGGGTTAGTCCCCTTCCTGGACTACCAGTGCTCATGCCAGGGTATGCAAATTCAAAGTATGCATAAAAACATGTCTTTAGCTTGTGATTTTACTGCTGCTGAAGAGTGGTAATAGGAGCTATTCAAGTATAATAAGCAGAGCATGAATACATATACCCTGATTTACACCAAGCACCTGAGATAAGACTCCAGTCAAGGAATCTTCTTCATGGGGAATTTTATATATCAGTTAGTACATGCACTGACAGAGAAATAGATGAAAATATAAAAAGAGAGACTGAATCTAGCAATTGGTAAAATGGAACCCACAAACTGCTAATTTCACGAGTGACAGAGAAAAAACCACTACACAAGGTAATTGTTTGATTCAGGGCCTGTTTCAAGACCACTGGAAACAATGGAAGACTATCAAATTGTGTTTGGATCAGGTTTTAGGATTTCCTCCCAGATATAAAACCTCCTCTGTTTCTCAAAAAGTAGCAAACTGAAGCATGAAGAGATTAAAGTACTTGTGCAGGATTACAGGAAAAATCTGCTGTGGAAAATTAAATAAACAAGCATGGATCTCTAGGTTCATTCCACATGTTAACCACTGAGCCCTGCTCCCACTAACTGCCTCTTACCAACCACTTACTTTCAACAGTGATTTGTACCTTCACAAGAATAGAGATTCCAAGCAGGACTTGCAGTTTCATTCACATAACAGCCATTAATCTTTACAGGTGATCCCTAGTGATAACTAATTTGAAGAGCAGTGTTGCTGTACTGAAAGATCTTGCTATAGCCACCATTTTTTCATAGAATCATAGAATTATTTAGCTTGCGTGGGACCTTTAAAGATCATGTAGTTCCAACGCCCCTGCCATGGGCAGGGACACCTTCCACTAGACCAGGTTGCTCAAAGCCCCATTCAACCTGGCCTTGAACACTGCCAGGGATGGGGCAGCCACAACTTCTCTGGGCAACCTGTTCCAGTGCCTCACCACTCTGACAATGAAGAACTTCTTCCTTACATCTAATCTAAATCTATCCTCTTCCAGTTTAAAGCCATTACCCCTTGTCCTATTACTACAGGCCCTGGTAAAGTCTTCTTCCATCTTTCTTATAAGCCTCCTTTATATGTTGAAAGGCTGCAATAAGGTCTCCCTGGAACCTTCTCTTCTCCAGGCAGAACAACCTCAACTCTCAGCGATTCTTCATAGGAGAGGTGTTCCAGCCCTCCTCTGGACCCGCTCTAACAGGTCCATGTCTGTCTTGTGCTGGGGAACCCAGAGCTGGATGCAGTATTCCTGGCACAGTAAAGTAAGCTTTTCTTACTAAGCTTCTATTTTAAACTGTAAATCAGACCCTAGTGAAAACAAAGGATGGCCATATACCTCCTAGCTACTTTACAGTTTGGCATCTTCAGCAAAGCTCCTCAGTGTCATTCTGCTGTCATGCTGAGAAATGGTTGCAAAGACAACAGACAGGAAGACTTGTTTGCTATGTTGTCAGCGTTTACTGATTTCAAGGAAGTCATGTTCATGCTCATCCGGCTGGATGATATGATATGGTATTACAGAAACAGCCCCGCCCCTCTGTCTAAGAGATTTTAGTGTGCTCCCACAGACACTTACTTGATGTGACAGGAGATCTGAGGGGTCTGGAAAGCTGGGAGTGTCATGCCAGGTGTCGGTTGTGTTTACTGGGGGATTCACAGTGCAGTGATGAGAGATATGAGCACTGGCCACAATCTGCCCCTGAAGTGCAGCTCCAATCAAGGTCCCAAGCACTTCCATGGTCATTCCTAAAGAAGGAAGCACAAATGTGCACTGAGGATGAGAACTCAATTCCTCCACTGTCTGTAAGCTTGCTCATTTGTCTCATTGAAGAGAAATCTCATCAAATCATTTTCTTTTACAGGGAACAAGCATAAAAAGCAATACCAAGAACAGCAGAACGGGAAGATCAGTAATAGAACTGTTTCAAGGAAAGAAAGTTTTGTTGTCTATTTTCTGATCAGCTTTTAGAAGCCTCCATGGAAAAACCTTTCTTATACAAGCTGCATGATGGATGCAGCTGAGATTAAGAATCACAAGGTGATAACATAGAAACCTTTCATCTCGAGGACCAGAGCAGAACTACAGTTTAAATACTGAATGCCATTTTTCCAAGGCAGGACTAGGAGTCATAACATCAGATTCTTCACCTCAATCTTGACAGTAACTTGTGAAACATTTTTCAAGTCACTTATCTGATCAGACCTTTAGGTTCTCCAACTGTAAAATAAAATGATACTTAAGCTTACATTGGAAATAATACAACTGCAAAGCTCTTGGAAACAGCAGGTGCTGTTCTTAACTGCCTAAGGCCACAGTCAGGCTGAACTAGCTACCTCAGCCTCAAAGAATGATTCAGATCACCAATACTCCAAGTACCATCAGAACAAAGGATCATCTGAAAAAACAACCAAAGTCTCCATTTGGGAAAGCAAAAATCTAACCATGGGCATCCAGCTCATGCCTCATGTACTCAAAATCAGTCAACAAGGTGGCTAGCTGTTACAGCTCCATCGCAGGTGAGTAATCTGGGTTCTAGACCTTTCTCACCCCAAGGAATTTCAAGCCTATCACTCCTGTTTCCATGCAGTATGGCCACACCCAGCATCCCCATGTCAGGGAGATAAACTGAATTCCTGTCCTGGCTCCAGAGACTATTTATGCATTTTGCATAAAGATACATAGGGTTGAATACATGAACAGATTAGGAACAGGGACCAAGATTCCCTGTTTATGAGGGAGTGCTCTTCTCATTGACCTAAACATCAGGCTTTGTTCTACTTTTTCTTTCTTAGTGGCTCCAGGGGTCCCATGCTTCTTTCTCAGAAGCACCATGGGGGATTTTGAAGGGCCACTTCCAGAGCAGGTTGTGTCTTGGTGGTTTTCATACTCTCCCTGGAAACAGATAGGTATTTCAAAAGCTCCTATGTTCAGGTTTATTCAAGTCCCCTGCTCTATAATAGTCCTCCCTAGGTGACCTTGGACACATACCTTTTTGTGTATGCCTGTAAAGGAATAAAGTACTTCTCCACCTAATGGGAAGTCAATGCACACACACTTCGAGCTGTTCAGACAGTGCAGTAAAGAGGGCTGTATCATAGCTATGGAAGATCAAGTAAGGAAAAGGGAAGAGAGGCTCCCTAGGAGACTTGGATCATTTAAACCATTGCTAGTATGTTCCCAAACAGAGAATGATTCTGGATGGAAAATTTGAGGCTTCGCGTAACATTAATTTAAACCAATGGGAAGAAAAAAAAAAAAAAAAAAAAAAGCTTCGTCCCCAAACTTCATGTCTAATCTTACTAGCAATGTTACAGTTCAGTCCATACACACAAAAAATGCTGGCAGATGGTGGAATTCCTAACCTCAACCTGATTTGAAGTATTTGGATAGAAACTAGTCTCAGCTGGGCCTTGCAGAGCTTTCAAACTGTTGACAACTCAGTGCAAAAGCAATGCACCTGAGTCACGCCTTTCATTCAAAACACCACCTACACATTTATAACCTTTATCTAGGGCTCTACGTCTGCATTTTACCAGCACTTGTGTAGAATAAAACTCAGAAGCATCATTAGAGGCAACAAAAACACAACCATTATGAAACCTTATTTTCTAAGAAGTAGCAAGAGCTGAGAAACAGGCAAATTTCAAAGTTTTTGTGTGCTCAGAATTTATAATGTATTACTTTCCACCTAAGTCAAGAAAGGTGATCTTTCAGAAAGCAGATTGTACCTTGAAGTAGGTTATGTTTTGCCCAGAACGTAAGTAGGATTTATGTTAAAGCAACTTTGGAATCCAGTATTTCTACCTTGCACTCATAGTAAGGAGCAGGACAAAATTTATAATAAGCAGTTCTGCTTGTCTCCAGTAGAGGGTAATGGATCCTCTGATCCCAACGTTTTTTTAAAAGCACACTTCATACTACACAGCTGTTTTTCTTTAAGCAGTTGAAGAAATGCCTGAGCAACTGACTGCATCCAAGAAAGTCTATCAACAAGAATTCTCTATGAAATCCAAAGAAAGGCAAAAGTGTTTAAGTAAAACACTTGTTAAAAAAAAAAGAGGGGTGGGGGGAGATACTTACATGATCATAACCATTACAAAAAAACTTGGCTCCAAACAAATGTGATTTCAAAATATACAAAAATACCAACATTTGAAAAGTCAAAACTGTGGTTCATTCTACCACCCTAACTTGGCTTAGGAGAACAGCTGTGTACTCGAAAGTTAAACCCTTTCCGAATAATAAAAGGACACTATAAATGTATAACACCTCTCAGCCAAGGAGTTCAACAGCTTTTATGAGCACAAATTTCACATGCCTATGAAGCCTTGCATGGGACTAGCAGATAGGAAAGCACATTTATTTGGATCACAGCCTCTGAAGACATAAAACCAGACAATAGAAAACACTAGGTACATGGATTTAGTTAGTATTTAGGCCAGATGACTCAGAATACAATCAGTGCCAAAGAATATAACACAACTGGAATCTCCTGCTGTTTAGTCCTGTCCTATGACTGCTAGCCCAGACTTTCTCTTGAGCTAGTTGATGATAATGCAAATTACAACTGTTCCATATGGCTGGAAAGGGATTCGGTTTCTCAGGGGATATCGTATCTACGATGTTTGATATGACTTTTTTAGCACTTCTGGCCATTTCGTTGTGCCTCTGTAGTCTAGTTTTCAACATACTCAAGCAAGTATGTTGATGGTTAGAAGGAATAATGGAAGAGAAAAGGGATCTTGCCAGGAAGAGAAAACAGATGCAACAAAAAAATTACAAGCTATTCTAAAGCAACACTGAAGGACAAGTTATGGCATAGAAAAGTCTTTCATGTGATACTTGACTCTTTTCTCTTAATGCTGGTGGCCATGAGAGACAGCAATTACATAGTAAAGAAGGTGTGAGAACAGAGCTGAAGACGGCAAGAAGGGAAGAAACTCTTCTTACATTCAATTTATGATCTGTACAGGAAATTGTGAAAATAATTTCATTGCACTTTTTTTGGTCTGATTGATTTGCTTCAAAGCAAAAACTGTCTGGTTTTGATTGTTGAAGAGCCAGAGATACGGTCTAGAAGCCCTTATTCTTCTAACTAATACAGTCAGAGCACCAGTTATATTACAGCAAAATCTGTCCTTAAACTACCTGGTATATGTTAGAATTAAATAAACACAGATGAAATAAAAAGAGAGATTTCAGTTGCTGTGAACATGCATACAAAATTAGTCTCCTTTTTTGGTAAGGTTAACTGTCTTGGTTCTGAGTTCTAGAATTTATTCAGAGAAAACAGGTTTTTTATAACACGAAACACATAAACCTAAGGAAATGCGAACAAAAAAAAAAAAGAAAGAAAGAAAGAAAGAAAATACTCAAAATTACTTTCACACTTTCTTTAACTGAATGTTAGAGAAGAACAGCACTTTGTTTTTTCCCCCTACAAATCACCTTTAAATGAAATCATTATTCCCTACCCTGGCTTGGGTAAGAATGATTTTTATTTTGTCTGGCTAACAATAAACCAAAAAGAGTTTATAGCTAATCAGACAATTTGAGACAATAAAATATTAACGTCTCCTATTTAGCTAGAAAAAAAAAAATTGAAGCATTTACAAGACAAAATATTTTTCATCAAATATTAAAAATCTAATATAAAAGTCCAGTTTAGGGACACAAACCATTAGGAACTTCCTATAGATAAAGAATGATTTTAAATAAAACTCAGCCCTAATCCACACGAGAAAGACCAGATCACACTCACGGTATGCTGTTGCAGAATCTCTCTCCTTCTGGTCTGTGCTGAGAAACATGGTGAGGGCAGAATATGGTACTTGGAATAACTATGCAAAGAAAGAACATAACTTAGGAAATGTCAGGGTAAATGCTGTATTCCTGCGATATCCAGGAAAATGGTTTAATGCGACCTTGGAATTAGCTTGTTTAGAACATTGTATTTTTTAGCACAATGACTGTTCTTTTCTTTCTGATTTGTAAAGCATATAAAAGGAAAAAAAAGTATCTTTCATAATACAAATAATAAATAATAAATTGCCAAGAGGCTTTCCCTTCATGCTGGGCTCCTTCGGCTTCCTTGGGAAAATGTCCTTCATAGCTAGGCTATAAAGCATCTAGTTTTCTTTGCACTAGGAGACTACCATGTTCCTAGCTTGAGCTGACTAACAGGAAAGCAAAACCATAACACTTTATTCAAGCCAGGAGACTATATAAATCCCCCAAATTATTTCAAATATTGGTCTTACTATGTAATTCCAGGAGATAATTGTGAAAACTACTTTATCTTCAGCACCATTTTGCCACACACTCCTTACTTTAAGAATAGGTAGAAACACCCGATTGCTATGTCCATGCACTGACAAAAAGGTAGATGAGGAGTGTTGCTTGTTTGTTTTTACAGCACTCTATCTAGCATGCAGTTGATACCTTGCTGTAAAATCTTGCTGGAAACAATGCACTGGTAATATTTATTGCAATACTGGGTAAATGAGCCCCACTTTTACTGCAGGAGAGGCCTTATCTCCAGTAGTACCTCATTGAAAATAACTATTGAACATTAAAGGCTTGACCTTTTGGGTGGTCATGATGTGAGTGGGACCCTGTTCTCATAGTGTTGAGCTACGATAAAAGTAACTTCTAAAATCCTGGAACACCATACATGCCAAACTCTTGGACTATTGTGAAGTGGAAGTGGGATGTGAACCTGCTTGAACAATCAAGTTCTCTGTGGCATTTCCACCGCCACAGAGATCTGTAGCCAGGCAAACTAAGTCTTGTAATCTGCATCCTACTCCATTCATACAAAATGCATTTCTGTTCACCTCCATCAAACATGGAAAGTGTATACGTTTTCAAAGCTCTGCCATGGAAAACCCGTGGTTTTCCTTCAAAAGAAAGAGGGAAGAAAATTATTTTAAGCCATTATGAATGTCTTCTGCACCATTTTTCTACAGAGGAAACAAAGAACCTAGGGAAACATTCGATCTTAACACAGGAATACAGAATTCCCAGGTCCAACAGATCTGTAAACAGGAGAAAAGCCAAAGTCAAACAAGAAATATAAACATTTTAAATGTCTGGGAACCACTTTTTCACAACATGATCCAGTGAAATTCAACCAGCCAGGATACAGTCTGCCAATTGCAATGTAGCTCTCCTACTTCCAGTCCTACTCTGCTGTGTGATACAGCTTTGCACAGAAGATACCTTGTTTTACTTTGATATTGGCTACAAGGCAAAACTGGGTGATGCAACCCCTACATGTACTGCATAGAATGTGTCAGAGAAATTCTTTGCGATCTGCTGAAATGATGGCTTCTGCATATATATTGCAAGTTCTGTACTGTATTAAAAAATTCATGAGCTCAAACTCTTCTATCCAGGCAAAAATATCATGATGACTACTATCAGTACTATTTCAGCTCTGGTACCCTGATTTTTCATTGCCTTCTAGCTTGAGTCAAAACACCCAGAACTAGAGCCACAAACCTACTTGGTCTCCTAATCTGCTCCTGAAAATAGAAGTTACAAGAAGTTAGATGTCTAACTGGAATTGGGAATCAAAATGTCTCTGTGGATCTATACAGGAACCAGATGAGTATCTAGGGCACTGCCAATGAAAGTGATTGGAGGTAATCTGTCTGAATTAGCAGGCCATTTGTCAGAGAAAGCATTGGCAGAAACCATCAACCAGCAAAGGGTTTGATAAAAGAACATTTACCTACCCCTTAAACTCACTAGAAGTTTAAATCAAATGTAAAGTTTTGGTAAATCTCAGTGTACTAAATCTGAATGCATTAACATAGACAGAAAACAAGCAAGTTACTGCTGAGAACATCATGATCTGTAATCTACTTACTGTGGTCAGTGCCTGGAAAAGGCAGTAGAAAGTCAGGTACCATGCAACTCTTCCCGATACAAAAGGGGGCAGGTACCACATAAAAAAATAAGACACTACTGTGAAGGGTGTACACGCCAGCATCCTGCAAAGAAGATTAACACATGTCAACAATCTCAACATAATGATAACAAAGCACATTAAATTTTCCTGCTAATAATCAATATAATGCAATTTATTTTATGTGCAGTTTTTCTAACTACGATAATACCATGTTTTTAAGTATTAAATGTTAGCATGCATTAAATACACAGATTCATATAAAAAGTATACAAGTACTTCCATAAAATGGAAAAACCCCAGCAAATCTGAAGGAAAAGAGCTATACTTAATATCCCACTCAGACTCAATTTCCTTGCACATGCACTGTAACAGCATACCTATATTGCCATTCCTTAGTACATGTCTCAGACTACACATTTATTAGAAAGGACCACTGAAAACTAAGCTCCATTGTCACACGTCTTCTCATACTTCAGCAATTTTTACATAAGCCTACTTATTACCAAGCATTCCCTCTTCCAGTTTTAATGCCTTCAGTTTTCCTCTCAACTTAGCCTCTTCATTGCTACTTCAAGCAAGTGCAAATACGTTGATACACTTAAAAATGCTGAAACCAGCATAAAAGGTAACGAACAGCCCACTGCAAAAGTTCCTACAGTCTGTATCTACTTGGGTATATGATAATTTGCTGCATTTAACTCAACAGCAAAACTCCTAATCACTTCAAACGCAAAAGGATCATTTTCTAGTGAAGAAGGTGACTTTAAAAAAAAGAACCACAGAAACTTAAATTCCAGACATTGCCATTAATTACATTAGTCTAAAAATTATTACAGGCACACAACGCTTGTCAAACTCCATGATATGGAAGAAGTGGTGAGATGTTATTATTTCCTAAAAGTCTGGGCTGCATCAGCATCAGGGCTTTCCTGTATTCTTGTAAATCAGACATTAAACAATGTAATTAGATGACCAAGATCCCAACAAAAAATATGCAAACACATAAAAGAGAAAACAGATTAATCCCTTCACAACAGCACTACTGACATTGGGGGTCAGCTGATTATTTTGCAATCGTGAACTGAAAACCTGGAATACAAAAGAGTAATGTGGGTAAATAGTTTAGTAAAACAATGGCTTTCCCACACTGCTCTTTGGGAGGGGCAGCATCAGTGGGAGCTGAGCATTTACACGGAAAGTGCCAGGTTCTGGTATTCTCTGTCCCCCCAGTCCCCAGGCCACAGTTCATCCACAGCTGGTCAGCAATGGAAAACACAAATAAGGGTAAAATCCTAACACATCTCAGGGAATCTACCTTCCTCTCCAAAAGCATGAGCTCTTCCAGACTGGTGTCCAGACAGAGTCACCATAGTAAAATATTTTCATAGTCAATTTTTCATGCAACTTTTCAGCAATAACCCTCTTAGTATTCTTCTCCCCTTCCATCCTCTTTCCATATTTTCCTTTCCTCATTAATGTGAGTTTTCAGAGCCTTGCTGAAGTTGCTGAATATCTGATTGTCTACCATTATCTCCTTTGACAAAATATTTTACCAGGTTTGTGTATTTCAAGTCAATGTCTGCTTATGCCTTTTAAACACATTACATAAAAGAGATCAATAGTAATTGATGACTTATTATATTGAGTACAGTATTAAGCTATAGTTAAATGTTGCCTTCTTTACTAATGTTCTTGCTTTGCTGGCAAGCTTTTCTGACTGAGCCAATTCTATTGCTTCACTATATACACTTAAGAAGTCAGAATAATTTCAAAATACTGAAGTATTTTTAAGCTAACAGAAGACCCATTTTTTGCTTTGTATAAATATGGTCTGACCTCCAAAGTGTAGGAAAAAAATTCCCATGAAAAAATTACCATTTCCAAAAAAACAGACAAAATACTTCTGGAAAGAAAGCAGCTGTTTGGTGAACACACATTAAAGCTGGGTTAGATAAGCACTTTTCCTGTAAGATGTGCAAGTTGTACCATAGTTGGTTTACAATGTAAAGGGCTGATAAGTTCATGCTTGTGCTAGGATGGGAGTTACTGTAACACTGATTTAACACTAACAATAAACACATGTATTTGCAGTATTTTCAGAGAAGTGAAAAAAAAAAGGCATCAGAATATATCTAATTGCATTGTATAAAAATGTCGTCATTTTGTTTTTGGATAACTTTGTTACTCAGTTAATTCAGCGCTCACTAAAAATCACTCCATTTATCTGGCCACAAACCAAATCCTGAAAAGAGAAACAGTAGCAAGCTCCTCTTTTCCCATGGGACTCTTGACAAAAAGCTTAACTTTGATCTGAAGGCCCTGTTCCTACCAGGGCCAAGAGCAGCTGATCTCGGTCTTCTTCCAACATGTACTTGCCTTCTATCCTTTGTCAGATATAAGCTGCCCATGGACAAGTTTCTGTAGCCCTAAAACCATACGACAGCAAGAGAACCACCAGCTAAAAAATTGAATTTCTCCATGAATATTCAACTTCTTTGCCCAGGATACCACATTTAATCTTAGATTTTTGTTGTGAATCAAGTTTGGGGGTTATGTGAATTCAAAGTTTGTAATTAATTCAAAATATCTTACAATACATCCTTATAATGCATGAGATAGAGCAGTGATGAAAGACTCCCTGTTTCACAAACTACTCAGTCACCCCTTGACTTCCAAAATATAAAAAACCCAACAAATAAATGCCCTGTGGCATACATGAGCTTGGGTTCCTCTAACATGGACCAACCCCTTTCAATTTTCTTGCTTCACACCTGTCAATCTCCTTCCTATATGAGTAACCTTAATTCTTCTAACCTCTCCTTATAGCACATGGACAGCACATGCACAAGTGTACTAGCTAGAATGCATACAAGGGATAAGTATGTCACAGTGAAACATCACACTGTCCCTTTAGAAATGCTGATCAAAATGTTATAGCATCTCATTCATTATAAAAGTCATGGTGATTTTTTAATTAAATATTTTGATTATGGGGATGTAAGAGAAGCAGGACCAGAATGACTGCTGTAAGGAAGAATGTAACAGAGCGTCAGGGCAGTGCTGGTTGCCCATCCAGTGCCACGGTGTCACAATCTGTCCCACATGTATGCACACATCCTTTACTGAATTCAAAGGCCTAGACAATTAAAAGTTAACGGAGCTCCTGGAAGGCTCATGTGGGAAGTGAAGGCACACTAGGACACAAGTAGAAACAAGTTCCAACTTTGTGGAGGAGTGAAGCCAAACTAAAGAAATCTAGACGAAGATGAAAATTCAACCACAGATTCAAGAAAGTTTTAGATCTGAGCTTTCAGTTTTGTTAACAATGCAGTGTTTTGGCTTTATTTGTTTGCATCTCCAGTGGTAGAAAATCTCTTCAGTGTTTTCATGGGAAACAAGTTAAAGGAAAATAGACGACATGACAATTTTTCTTTTTTATTTTATATATGTAGAATGAATACAATCACTGATGTCTGGGAAACAGGCAAAGAAAAATGAGTCTAACTCAATGAGGTGACTGTATGATCACAACACTCACACAATATTCTCATATATATATATGTGTGTGTGTGTAAATATATGTACACATTTATGCTTACCAAGGCATGAGCCGGCCAACTTTTGTCCATCTACTTTTGCTAATAAAAAAGCCAGCAACAGGATCAGTAACTGCACCTGAGGCTTTGCCAACGAACAGCACCAAAGAGGCATGAAATGGAGTAATCTGAAAGTACAGACAGAATACTGTAAACAAGAGCCATTGTTTGACAATACAATGAAACAGCATAAAGCAACTTTCCAGAAAAAAAAACCTCAGTGTTTTAAAGAATAATGATAGTTCATTTACAAAACATGTCTGCTGCTGTCATAGAAATTACTATTGGTTACCCGTGGCAAACAAATGAGACATTGAGACAGGCACCATGCAAGAAGGGATTAGAGGGGAAAAGTGCAAGGAATGAGAGCCTATGAATACGTTTAGAACTAGGAAAATGACTCAGTCAAATAGTAGACTAAAGTCCTTGTTTTAGTCATAAAACCTGACACAGTCCCTCTGTAATTACCCCCTCACTTTGTTCCCCACACGGCCCCATTTCCCCATATCTTTATCTTGACCTGATCTAGAAAAAAGTAGAGGGAGCTGTTTACATGCATTCATGCTTTTTTATCTCCTGAGATTACCAACAAGGCTGCCAACTGGTGGCACGTGCCTGTGGAAGAGCTTGTAGCACAGCAGACTTTATTGACTCAGAACTGAACTGCATAAGGCACATCTGTTCAAAACAAAGTTGCCAGCACATGTCCAACAAATCTCACTTGAAAAATGTTCACGGATTACATAAGAATAAAATGGCCAAGTAGAAAAACCTTTGAAGGTAACCCAGGAGGACCATACTTAAGTGCCTATATAGAAATACAGTTTATCCCAGGCAATGTAGTTATTTTTCACATGTACCTGTACAGATCTTAGGAATTTGTATCACACAAAGGTTAAAAAAAGTGGGTTCTCTTCCAAGAGCTCAGTTCATGCCACTGAAACTATAGGCCTTTAAAATGTCACTGAAATCTATATAAACATGAACATTCCTCAAATCAGTTATCAAAAGAGCAAGAGGCTGCTGGAACAGCCTATGCAGCTTAAACAGTAGCAGCAGACAAAACCCCTTCATCTATATGCTTCTTCATGCTATCAGTGCTCCAACGCAGTGGGAAGCCTGGCGAATGCAGCTGGTGCAACACCAAGCTTGAGCTAGTATCCCCTGCTTTTCTGCAGAGCTTATTACCTCCCAGGCAGCATCACATGGCTTCCAGCTAGGGCAGGTCCCCTGCCTGCAGAATTTGCTGTAGGTATTCCCTCAGAGGTGAAAGAAGGAAGCAATAATCTCTGAATGTCCTGGATGACCTTTGTGAAAGGCAGATGCTATGCACTTGTGTAATCACACCTGTTAAATTTTAGCCCAAATTAGGTGAAATTGCAAGGGCAGCCAATCTTCCTAACACCACCAGCTCCAAGACACATATTTCAACCTAGAAAGCTTATGAACAGGGAAGGATTGGGAATGGTAGTCTCCAGCAGGTAATGACAGTGGCTCTCCAAGCATCCTGTTGCTGCAGTGTGGGATGAGCATTATGCTGTGTCCCACAGCAGTTTGCTGACATTCACTTCTTCCACCTTTGTTGACTTGTGCCCTCCCACAGCCAAGGTGGCAAGTAGCCCACCAACCCTGGGGCAGACTTGCCATGGGGGCTGCACTGGAACTGCTCAGAAGTCCCTACTGCTTCTCAAGGGACAGGTCAGCCAAAACAAGAACAAAATAGCAGTCAGAAAGATACAGGGGTTGAAATGCTGCAGTTATGAGGGACACAGAAAACTTCAAATTAGGTGGGTTTTGCATTGGTGTTTTGTTCAGATAACTTGAATAGACAGAAAGGAAGTGGATATTAGATAAACAGAGGTGGAAGAAAGCCTTGAGGAAAATTAAAACCTCTTTTATGTTAGGAGTGGAGTCTGCGTAGTCACCCTGTCTTCATCATCGGTATGGGCTTATACATCCCTTGGCTGCCTTTTCCTAGCCCCTAAATCTAGACAGTGTCTGTCACCACCAGTGCCAGAAACTTCTCAGTGTTAATAAAATACAAAATAAAATATGTTAAATTCACCCATCTCGAAAGGAATAAAGACTAGGATCCTATTATCAGAGGTTTTGGTGTTTTCTAGTAATTTGACTCAAGGATCCTGTGTGGTTTGGAGTTACATTTATACGTCTGTAGTTTATACAGGCAATTTAGATGGAACGTGGAATTCAAAGGGGAAAACTGTAAGCTACAGAAAGTGAATGCAAATGTAATTTTCTTAGAAAGGATCCAGATTATGTATGAAAGATTACACCTAGCGAGTTTCACAGTCTCTCAAAGAGCTAAAACAGTTAGGCCCTCTGAGTGGGCAAGAATTAAATCCAGGTAGTGACTATAAAATTACATGCTCTCCCCTGAAAACGTGTGGAAAAAAACCACAGGATTTCAGAGCTGTTTATCAGACCTTGAAATAAATCCTGTCCCTGCAGGTTTACTTCAGAGAACAAGCCAAACCATCAAGGAACAAATAATTAAGCCCCTTAATGAAGTAGTAAGTGTATCACTACAAACATTAAGTAAAATTATTGGGTTTCAGTAGGAGCTTGTTAACAAAATAATTACTATTACGTCATTTCTTTAGGTAGTGCGCAAAAATGCAAGAATGGGACCCCAGCTTTCTGGACACTGTACACAAACATATAAAGAAATAAATAGATCCTAGCTTCAAGAATGTTCAATTTCTGTAATAAGCAGAGAGTGGGGAAATTGGCATATTTATAAGAACCCTGGGAAAATTGTATTAGTGTCTTTCTCATTCAGTTCCTACTTCATCATCTCCAGTGACTTGTATTGCCATCCTTGATATGACTGTGGAACAGCTGTAGTCAGAGCTGCATCTCCAAGTTACCTGTTCCACCTCCAACTCCTCAGACTCCACACCATCCACTTGACACCTTTGACACTGCTGTCCAAAACTGGCCCCTGTTCTAGATCTTGTGACTTTGATCTCAACAAGACACTCAAGATCTCAGTTTTACTTACCAGTCTTACTGTGTTGCCAGTTTGATTAAGTCACACCTCAGCTTCTGATATCAGACTTTTATAGGAAAACCATAAACCCAATCTTTCAGACACCTCCACTCCCCAAGTCATGACATCCTGTATTTCTACATCTTAAATAGCAAATGGATAATGATATCTGATCCAGAAGGTCCTGTTCTTTACAGCAAATAAAAACAGTCGTCAGTGCTGAAAGCCACTCATGTAGTTTCAGTTACAGCTGTTCTTGGGTTCCCTGCAATTTGGCCTCAACTCCCTAAAATCCTTTTTTCTATCCTATAATACTTTATCTCTCCCACCTAGGTGCCACACAGACATACAAGACAATCCAAAACAGTAAAAAATGCTTATGGATTGATTTTCTTTGTTTCTCTGCTGTCCTGAAATCTAGCTGGAGCAGCTGAAAGTCAGATGAATGGGATGACTCCTACTGCTTTGTTTTACCAGGTCTGCTTCTGCACCAGAAAGCCACAGACCAGAAGCAAAGAACCTTCAGGAAGGATAACTCAGCTTTCTTTACAAAGAAATTACCCTAGACAAACCAAATAAAATTTATGTGAAACTATGTCGACTACTGGGTGCAACTGCAGTGATTTTTAAACCAAATGAACAAAGCCTCACAACTGCTTTTTCTTGTGTCTGCAAATGTGTGAACTCTACAGTGCCTAAGGCTCTATTAATGATCCCAAAATAAAAGTGAACAATGGCCACTTCAAGACAGAAAGGAAACTAGTGAAAAAAAGAAAAAAAAGTATTTCCAGATAAGTTTATGGAGTTTCCAGGATGCTAAACAGCTAGAGACAATGATAGCAAGACAATGATAACAAGGCAATTGAAAAGCTTTTTTAGCTAATTCACCTTTTATCATTCCAGGGACATTGTTGACAACATCAGAGTTGAGGTAAGTCTACAATCTGTAAAGGTTTCTTGTGCTACTTACATGGGCTATATCTAGCAGGTAGATCTGTAGGAAGAAAGCAGCAGCACTCCCTGCCACTTGATTTGGGGCACCTCCTATTGCATAGCATATTTTGCTGCAAATCGAGAGCCTGTATTCCTGTTCAAGATGAAGCAGAACAAATGATGAGAAAAACAAGGTACACAAGTTAAAAGCTACAGAAGTCATGAGGTTGAAGTCTAAGGTTAACACCAAATTCAGGTATTCGCTTCACAGGTGTTCCACTAATAAATCCATATGCCCTCAACCCCTATCACCAACAGGCATTTGGATGCTCATTGCTTTGATTTTTAATGGTTTTGTTCCTTAATTCAGCCCCTAAAACCAGCTTACAGTGTCCCTACAAGGGAAGCTAGACTTACCTACCCGCTTCTCGCAAGCTATTAAAAAGGAAAAAGTCTACAAACAAGCAAGAAGTAGCAAAGAAGTGCACATACTGTTACACTATTTTCTGAGCTTAGTTTTGTCTTTGAATGTTTAATTCAGATTTTTTTAAAGGTTGAAAACATTCTAAAAAACACGATTTCTTATATCAATCTTTCAGACCATAATAACTGATATATACTCTCATACCATAGTAATTAGACAACATTCAGAGAAGGAAAGTTCCACAGTCAAATGCAGACCGAATAGATCCCAAACATTTGGGCTCCATTCCTTTCTTACTTTGTCACAAAACGCTGGTGTGACCCTGGCAAAGTCACTTGACTTTGTACATCTTCCTTTTGATTTGACTTTCCTATATCTTTTGTGAAAGTTGGCATAATAAGGAAAATGATTTTAGGGCACAAGTCCTCTTTAGGAAGGACTCTAAGTCATTCTAGGCATGTTTAAAAATTTTTGCAAAACTGTGCTTTCTCATTTGCCTTTTGATGCTTGAAAAGGACTGTAAGCATCCAAGAATATTCTCTCTAACAGAATTGCCAAATAAGAGTAAGATAAAAGCTGAAAATAAGGTTTCATAACAGTAATTAAAAGACAAAAAATGCACAGCGTCTAATAGAAATTCTAATGAAGAACACTGTGTTTTCCAATAGTAGAAGTTCAGAATACTGGAAAGCCTTTAAAAAAATCTTAAGACTTAATTTCATGCCATAAAATTCAAAATACAGGAAGAAAATGACTGTTCATTAATCTTGTATTCCTTTCAAAGGGACAACATATCCAACCTGAATTTAGACTTTTAGGCTTTCAAACCCTCTTTAAAGACTGCTGTCAGCAGGAACCAGGAAACATGAAGGGAAGCAGCAATATTAATCCTGGGTCTGCCCTCTCTCTGAACTGACTACACAAGCCCTTAATTCTTACATTAGATCAGGATAAAAATAGACATATGGTAATGAGACCCACCACAGTGATAATATTCTGATACATGACCTAGCTTCTGAACATTTTTAAATTTACTAAGTACCATCATCTTTACTACCTAACAGAGTTTTGATAAGTTTTAGACTTCTAGACAGAGCCTTTCAACATCTAATAATTTTCCTTTGAACTGTTTTATCTGAGTGGGTGTGGACAAGCAAGCACAAGTATCAGGACTCTTTCCTCTTTGTGTTTCCACAGAGAAAGATGGGGTGGCATCCCATTACTATGTCCAAGTAAAATGGACAGTGTCAGAGCACGAGCTGCAAAATGGTATTGCCACAGCAGGCCTCACTTGAACTCTGAATTGGCAATTTTCTTCTGTCCAGGAAAAAAAAAGAGTGGTAAACAGTCCCAAGACAGACTTCATCAGAACAATATACTGTTTAATTTGATAAGAGATTTTAAACACAACAAACAGACTATGTACATATTTGCTGTACAAAGTAACCCCCCATTTTTCATACATAAGTCCTATTAAACGTGAGCTTTACTAGAATTGTGGGGTCTATAGTATCTTGTTCGCTCGACTCACAACACGGTCCTCTTGAGCTTTGCTCCAGGGACTGTGTACTTTCAAACTTTATGACACTGTTTTATTTTTTAATCATTCCCTTCTCCTAGCCTCACCTCCATCCTCCCAGAAATTAAATTACTTTAAAAGTTTATTTTCCTTTGATACCTTCCCTTCTGATCTCCAAGCATTGGCAAGATGACTTCCAGCTGAAATCAAGAGACATAAACCACTGCTATGTAAATCCTGTATCCTGCTCCACCCCCAAAACAAGCTAAGAAAACCTTTTAGATCCATAATGCTGCTTTCCCACTTATTTTCCCTAGTAGCTGTCATAGAATCACAGAATGGTTTGGGTTGGAAGGGACCTTTAAAGATCATCTAGTCCAACCCCCCTGCCATTCACAGGGACATCTTTCACTAGACCAGGTTGCTCAAAGCCCCATCCAACCTGGCCTTGAACACTGCCAGGGATGGAGCATCCACAACTTCTCCGGGCAACCTGTTCCAGTGCCTCACCACCCTCACAGTGAAGAACTTCTTCCTTATATCCCTCTTGCAGTTTATAACCATTGTCCCTTGTCCTTTCAACAGCTAAAGCCATGATAACACAGAAAAAGTAAATGCCTTTATATAATACACATGATTCCAAAATATTTTTATAACACAAAGAATGTTAAGTTCTTAAGAGTTAGTCTAATTAAAGTTTTGGTACAGGAAACAGTCAACCAAGATCTAAACTTACAGGCTGTAGGCAGTACCCCTGTCTTTACATCAGTTTTGTGGGGAGAAAATTTACAATCTTAATACATTTTTTTTAAGAAGTCTTACTGTGATTCCACACACACCCAGGATGCTGCTCAGCTACTTTCTGAACCACACTCCCAGATCACCTTGAAGCAAAGTTAATAGTTTAGTCACAGCAGTAGTTAAATTTTCACTAAATTTTGTTTGTGAATGTTATTTTCAGAATAAAACAAGCTGTCGGATAGACATAGCATACAGAGGTGTCCTGTTCAGTCAGCCACAGAAATGCAGGGAACCGACCGTTCATGAACTTCCTGAAATGGAGGTTACATCCTGATCACTGTTCAATACCTGTTTTCCTTTTATCATGCCTAATTACTTTTGGAACTCATTTGTACATTAAGCCATAATACACCACAGCAGTTCTACATGTGAATGACAGGTACAGTGAAAGGAAATGCCACTGCATTCATTGCAGATCTGCTGCCTCGTAATTTCATTGAGTGCCCCTGAGTTTCTCCCTGCTGAGGAATAGTCATTCAGACTCTACATTCTGGTATCTCTTTCCAAAAGCAGCAGCCCATAATCTATTTTGACTCTCTGTATTGAAGTTATATTGTAATCACTACATTTTCTACCTTAGTATCCTATGTCACAGTGGTAAAAATGAAGGTACATCTCTGCACCAGTAAAGCTGAAACATTTCCGTCTTTCCAACTTCCTGGGCTTACAGTTTAAGAGTAGAAAAGATACACGTGGCAGCTGTCTGTTACAGTAAGTCCCTCAGCCTTGGTTAGTTTTACATGATATTGCTAATAAATGAGACCAGAAACTGTCTTGAGAAGGATAACATTGCACTTGTGCAGAGCAGTGTGACCAACAGCAGTACATTGGCTATGAGCAACTAAGAGGGTTTTTCTCTGAAGGCTAGATTTCTCTGCTGCATTGCTTCCTCAAGCAACAGAAACTGCTTGATTTCTGTGAAATCCAGTGAAAGATTTTTCACCTGTGTAAGTTTGTCAGTAAGCTTAAAGCAGACTCAGAAAATTCACTAGAGATGTGAATGTGTAGGCAGTGGTCAAATAACCAACAAAATACAAAGTATTTACAATGAAAATTTTGTTTTGAGACCCCTATGGTGTAGTTGAATGTCAACATCAAATTGCTTCTACAAGCTTTAGAAGAAATGTGAGAGGATGGGGTGGGAAGTAAGAGAAAGGAAGGTAAAATGAAGTTGTAAGGTTTTTCTTTTTCTCAGATTAACTTGACAATTTTGTACTACACATGCCCCCATCATATCAAAGTTAATTGTGTTTCTAGGTAAACCAAGAAAGTATAATAGCTGAGATTTGATTTTGTTCCTTACTCTTCTATTTAAGATTAAACATTGTTATAGAAAATTAATGCAGCTTATACAGTATAGTTCCTTTATTTTTAATTCTCTTATAAGTTAAAACCATACTTTTCATTGCTTGTAAATTTTCCCTTCCCCAACAGAACAGAAGTTGAATACAATGTTTGTAACAGATAATCCTATTTCTAAAGAAAGTATTTAAGCACATTGAAAACAACTCTGCAACTGTGTGAAGATACTGCATGAACACTATGGGCATGGGAAGCAGCCACATTTTCTCCTAAGCTATTCTTTATCAGTTGAGTCCAGAACTGAACCAACAAGTAATTTAAAAGCAGTAAGGAGAGAGAACAAAACCTGTGACTCAAAGATAAACACTAGTCTAGGTTTATCTGAGAAACAATGAAAATGTAGCTAATGAGGAGCAGCTTTTGACTCAGCTTTTCTCTCAACGTAGAATTAATACTGGTAATGTTTCTGTTCTGTGAGTGACCATACAACTGCCTCTTAAAAGCATGAGTGCAATAGTCAGAGGTGGCATCCCAGGTCCCTCACACCAAGTATGTCGAGGACTGTTTTCAGGTTTCTTAGTGACATCAGTCCACCCCCGAGTGGAAGAAGTAACAGGAGCAGGGCTTAGGGTGCAGACACCTAGAAGGGGCATATGAACAAGGCGGGATAGAGCGGTGCTTTCACAGGATATTCTTTCAGCTGCCAGCAATGTAGCGCTGAGGAGCTTTGTGAGCCAAAACCAGTGTATCTCTGTTTAATATCTTTAGATTTCTCCCATGAATTCACCCAGATGCTTTCTGAACACAAAAATTCAAGCCAGAACAGCATGTGCCCACAGCGCCTGATGAGTTCCATGGCTTGAACGCCCTCCACCACGCTGTGAAAGGTTACCTCTGCCCCTCTGTTTCAAAGCTGTCCCTTCCCAGCCTTACCAGATGCTCTCTCCAGAGCCACGGAGCGAGGGGGGTCCCCACTCACCTCTTACCTGCCTCTCTGCTCCTACCTCGGCAAGCACCGAGTCCGAAGATGAAGCATTTAGATACCCTCTCACTCGCAAAGCTGGTCTGGAAGTTCGGCGTTGATGAGGCTTCCCGAGGAGGGTGAACCCCTCCCGCCTCACCTCTCCTGTCACCCGTGGTACCCCACCTGCCTTGACCGGAGAGACAGCCCCGGAGGGAAGAGACAGTGGAAAGGCAACGAGCTTTTTCCTGCCACCGAAGTGGACGGACAGTGAACATCGTATAGTGTACTCGAGGGGAAATTACGGGAGTCGCACGGAGCTTCTCGGTGAGAGAGAGGGGAGGGGGGGGTGGTGGTAAGGGTTGGAGAGCTGTTTCAGGTACCTCGCCGAGACAGGCTGCGCCGCGCAAGAAACGCCACACAGAACACGGCAGCAGCAACTTCAGGCTGCCCCAACACCCCCCCGAGAGTGCCCATCCCCTTCCCCGTAACCCACCGGCAATTAATACAAAAATCCAGCGCGCCGAAGCGGGAGGGCGCGGGCGGCACCGCTCCGCACGCCCGGAACCCCAAGCCCGCTCTCACCCCGGGACTGTGGCCGAGGGGCTCCTCAAGCCCCACGAGGGCCGCCTTTCCCCCTCCCCAGCCCCTTACCTCCTCCTCCGCCGGGCGCTCCGGGGTGTCCTTCGCGGCCCCCGCCATGGCAAAGCGGACAGCCCACCCCCGTCCAACACCTGCGTGCCCGGGGCGGGGCGGCGGAGGGAAGGAGAGGGACGGCGGGTGGCGGCCTCCCTCACCCTCACGCAGCGCCCCGGAGGGGCGAAGGCGCGATGGCTGCCCTCCAGGCTCGGGAGGGGAGATTCCCCGAGAGAGGAGCCCGCTCCCCGCCTCGGGCGAGGGCTGCACAGCCGAGTCCGCCGAGCCCCCTGCGGGCGGCAGGGACCCCCCCTCACCCTCCGTCCCTCCATGCCACTTCCACTGTGGAGAGGAGCGGGGCAGCTCCCCGTCGCTCTCTCCTGTGGGGGCTGCCGCGGGAGCCGTCCGTGAGGTAAAACCCGGGCTTTGTTGTACTGGAAGCCCGCTTAACCCGCCCGAGCGTCCAGAGAAAGGCCGCCACAGCGCCCGCCCTGCCGGTCCCCTCAGAGGCACCGCGCGCCCCGACGGCCGCTGCTCCCGCCTCGCCCCGCGGTGAAGCGCTTCATGGCCGGGGGTCAGGCGGTGAAGCTTTCTGGGGCCGTTTTCAGCCAAAGCCTAAAAATACGGGCTCCATCCTTTCGAGCAGATGCACGGGTTTCCGATTTATATGAATTTATAGCCACGCCAGCCAGCGATGCTGTTGCCTCTCAAGCGGAGATGAGATTTACACAAACACCACGCTCGACCCAGGAACCCGCTGCGGGAAGAGCTGCTGCCCTCCAAGGCCCTGGAGCCGACACCGTTATTTAGGCAGTGCAAGTTCACCACCACCACTCTGCCCACAGGAAAATGGTCTTGCAAGCATGCTCCGCATCAGAGAAAAAAAAATAATATTGCATTTTGAAGTACGAATTCTTGCAACAGGGAGACAGCCCAAGAGAAGTGGGCTGAAACAAACCAACGAGGGCTCAGTGATCCGCTTGTCTTGGGAAGATGACTAATCTACACACACAGGGCTTTGTGGCTCAACTGATTCAGAGTTCTGCTATTGACAGGGTCACTTGGTGGCTATTGGACACCCACTGCAAACTACGCCCTGAAGTACTGATATGCAAATCCTGCGCAACCTCATTTGACAAGAATAATTATAACAAATTTGCAAAATTCTGAAAGAACAGGGCATTAAAAAATTTTCTTAAAAACAGACCTTCAATGCAAAACTGAAATTGTGGCCTTAATAGGCCTTGTTGAAACCCCTCTGAAGCTTTTAGGCTCCAAAGTGTCCCTAAGGGCTGAGGCCAGATGGGCTCTAAAATAACAGAGGTGGACCGCTCAGTCCCTTAGCCCCAGTACATAATTTGTTCTTAAATACCAAGTTAGATACAAGGCATGCATGTTACATTCAAATTCAACATTTAGGTTCTTTGTTTTCTCTTCACACAACATCCTCTTAACACATTAAATCTGTTACCTGCATTTGCATGTTTCTTCATGAAGGAAGAAACTACAGAAAGCATTTCCTTTCTTTGTTCTTTTCTAGGCTATTTCAATTTTGCTGTAAATTATGTGAATGCACAGGCTTTACTCAAAACAGTGAAGGCTTGTGAATAAACATGAATAACTGATAGCATTCATGTGTTGCACAAACTCAAGCACTGATCAAGCTAGTTTTACTGTTGTTTGACCAATGCACAATAGCTGTCTACAGTGCTGAGCAAGAGATTAGCCTGTCCAGACACTACAGGTAGCTAATCAGTCTTTACAAATTGACCAAAACCAATTAGATTTAGGAAACCCCTGTATTAATTCCAGAGATTTTCTCCAAATTAGGAAATAAGTTATCCAATCACAGTTCACTGCCTTTTTTTAAAGGCACTTTCTAGTCTAACATGGGATCAGTGCAGTCAGCATCACTCTTGACTTTTGCTCTCATTTTGTAATTGAGATCATGACACTGCCAAACTGCAAATACACACTCAAGTACACCAAAGCTGTAGCCAGAAACAGTTGATTTCAGTAAAGCGCAATATATAGCCAGAGAGAATCAAGCTATCCAGTCTCTTAAAATACTGGTAGTAGACATGAATCTACATTGAAATACTAAATACTTACTGCTCCTTTCCAAAAACATTGTCTTATGATAACAAGCAAAATGGATTTACCTACCTTAAAATTTGATTCCCCCTCCCCCCTTCAATTTCAATCAACCTTATGCTAATTATTTCTTTGAATTTCTATGTTGCAAATGCAGGAATAGTATACCGTTACTTTGACATTTCATGCACCTTTTAGGTAAGAACAATTGAGCTTACAATCAAGCATGTGTGGTTTTCTAATACTTGGTTTTACATTAAGACAAATTCAAAAGCACTGATTAATAAAATTCACTGTTCAGGAAACTCTGCAAACTGAGGGTTGGATGTGTGTCTGTAGGTGACTTGTCTCTTCAATTTCACTAGTGGATTTGTCTGCACATTTCTTCCTACTAGTAGAGATCTGGTAGGCTTTTCATATAGCAGAGGAGTCGGTGTAAGACCAAAGAAAATGTAGTTGTATTATTTGCTACATAAACGTGAATGACACAGTAGCACACCAAGTTTATAGCACTGAAAACAGTTAACTGCATAGTTTTCAGAGATTTGCTGTCTGAATACACTGAATAGATATTTGTGCAGTTGATTTTTAATTGCACTGCCCTCAAACATATCAGGAGAGATGCTGAAGCAAAACAGTTCTATATCCCTAGTTTGAAGTAACATGACTTTTACAGAGATTTCAAGTCACTCCAATTAAGTAATTTTCTATTTAGAACAAAACCAGGAAATCCCAAACCCATCTTTCATTTAACCATGCAAGAGAAGTACAATGCCAACAATCATCCATTTGCATAGGTAGCACAAACTAGTCAGCACTCATTGAAGGCCCCAGGATAAGTCTTACCTAGAGACTCTAGTTCCATTCACAAACCACATGCTACTTAGCAAAGTAATACAAAATATTTACTCTTTATGTTGATTTCTCCTTTAACAAAAAATGGAGTAGTTGGCTACAAATTTTATGCCTCAAGTACCTGAATAGCAAAATAAAATATTTGGATGGAAATGGGGCAGAGGAGGGGGAAAGAAACCTCAATTTTCAAATAAGGATTTTCAACATCTTTGAAACTAGGCCAGATGCAATTAGTGTCTCAATCACCTGGCCAGTTCAGGAGAGAGGCAGATATGTAGTACAAAAACAACCATGTCGCTCTAAGCCACTATTCCTGTATGGCAATCTCCAAAAAAGCTGAAGTTTGTGTGTGACAAGGCTAAAAGCGGACCTCTATCCTAATGAGCTAGGTAGTTTAACATCACCTTATCTGTAAGACACCTGTAGCAGCAAAAGAGGGGAAGAAACCACTTCAACCCTTCAACCATTGGTAATAACAATTCCTTCAGAGCTTTGAGGCACTTCATATGCAGTATGCACCAGACTACCTCATTACTATCTTCTCACACATGCACCTACCACCATGTGAAGACTTCATAGAACATTACACTGCTGATCTTGTGGTAAAAGTGAAATCCTGAAGATACTGATATTGCAGATTTTCAAGTTAGTTAGGAGTTTAAATGTGAGCTTCCCTGCCGCATCTGTTGCCTAAAAGTTACTGTGAGAAGAACGCAAACTGCAGCAGCTTACACTGAAATGTAAGTGAAACCAATCAGTTCAGTTTCAGTTTAGTCCAAAGTGCAAAAATAAATACTATTTTTCCTTAAAAGGTGCTATCAGTAGTAGTTAAGTCTCAGAGAACTGTTCTGCCTAAATACACTCATTAAAGAACTAAGAAGCTTTCTACCTAAGGAAATTCTAAGGATGACTTATTGTATAGTTACCTCTGCTACCTTATATAGCCAGGCTCTGACCACCAAATTTAGTTGAAAATACTTCTATTATAGCAGATGATAGCACAGCACATATTTTTCTCTCTAAGAGCACAGTAAGTGAGGATGAGTGCATCCAGATATTGCTGGTTACATTTTTGGTTTTGTCTAGTTCCACCTGTAGGTAGTTTTTGGCCAGTTAAAAGCTAATTTGATCTTGTATTTTTGATAGCATTTTTTTTCTCATTCTTGAGCTGTCCATTAGGTGCAGCAGCAGTTTTATAGCCATTGTCAGGTGCTTTTATCACTAAGAGTCTGAAAGGTTCAGTTGTTTTCCGAAGTCTCTGAACCACAACAGCATTTTGCAACTTTGCTTCTTCTAGGGTGAGTGTCTCGTCTCGCAGCTCTTGAACTGGCAGCGAAGTAGTCAGTGTGAAGGGAACGCTTCCCTCTGATCCTTGATACTTTGTTATGAAGTCTCTGACATGGCTTATTCTGAGAAGAAAAAAAGAAAACCCAGCATTAGAGCACTCCAATCCCAACACAGATCATCATGTGCACAAGACATAGTCCCACCACAAGAAGAGAATGAGACACCCACTTCATGTAATAGCTGATGGCATAGAAATAGAGGAATACAGATGGTGTGGTATCCTGAAGTGTCTGATCCACTTGGGAAGCAAGGACCAAGGTCTGCATGCTCAGAGAGCAGTCCCAAGGGAAAAAGGATGAGTATCTTACCCTGAGCACTCAAATGGCTCAGATGGTAGTTACACAAGCCTACCATTTCTTAACCAGCTGGTGGAGCTCTTACCTGAGGTTTCTGTAGCAGAGAGCTAGAATAAAGATGCCTCCAGTGTGTGGTACATGCAGCAGAACCAGAATAATAATAATAATAAAGAAAAAGGGTTTGCAAAAATTGTCTGGATAGCTTATGAGTTAACCAGGTTT